ATCTTTTGAGGAATTGCTTTTTAGCTTTAGGTTAGGTAACAGGTACCTATGCTTGAATAAGAAGGAAAATAAGCTGTAACTTGGCCTAATCCAGTTCATGTACGTAGTCTTAGAATTTTAGTAGTTTATCTTCAAGAAGGAAAATGTCAAGAGCTTATGACAAGAAGGAAAATAAGCTATATCTTGAATTGATCCAGTTAATGAACGTATCCTAATGCTCAAATTGTAGGAGCTTCATTGTCAACGGCATTTCTTAAATTACTGAAACAGTAGCCGAGCTATAATTAAATCACTATTTAAATAATTCTTTAACAAATTTATTGCAATGCCTTAACAGCAAATAAATGCAAATGATAAGTAGAAGAAACACTTTATTCACTCGAATTTCTGAGCGCGAGAATGCCCTCGCTGAAATTTATTTGGTCGGCAATCCACTTTTCAGGAGAATTCTTCAAGCATGTTTGTGTTTTCCATAGTTTGCTATCACGTTTTCCATAAATAACTTATTCATTACACATATGTGTGTCTCTAAAAGAAATAAATGCCCCATAAAAATTAAAACACATAACTTTTGCTGTTCGCAAACAGTACGCATAATTTCCAATAGCGACGGCGACAAGACATTGACCAATCACGTTGCGTGTTTCCTGCTGGCGTTGATTTGTACTGTGGGCAAAATGGCGTGAATAGAATTACCATGCTATTCTCTTTATAAGATTGCGTGAATAGGGTGCCGTAAATAGAGTGGGGTGGAATGATAGTACGCCATTTGGTAGCACAACCTTTATAAGATTGGGCCCAGGGACTTGGCAAGGAGAATAGGAGCGGAAACTTGAATCCTAATCCAATATAAAACTCAGTTGTGGTACTTCATTAGCATATCGGACCGCTGAATGGCCAGTTTATGGCGACATTGCCAGCATTCAAATCACCGATTAACATTGCCGAACCACGGTTTTCATGGTCGGCATGACGATAACGCATACGGTATTAAAAACTGCATCTTTGTCGGGACGCGGTGCCGCTCCGTAATGCGTAATACGAGCGCGGAGGGCCTGCAGTGGCCTTGGTAGCCTGCCCGCTGAATAGCCTACAATTAAACATGCAGAGCGCGTCAAGGAAGTGCTCCTCACGGCAGCCACCGAGCCACCTGTGCCGACACGGGATATGACATCATCCGAGAACGGCGTAATGGATACGTGACACACTTATCAACTGGCAAAACACGACACAAACTAAACAACACCTGGAGTTGAGATGCTAAACACTGACGAGCCAAACGTTTGAGCCGAGTGCGAACATCGGTATCTCCGTGCGGGGCCGGAACCACGGGTTGCTTGGCATGTGGACCAGTGCCGCGCTGACTTCAGTCGAGCAAATTTATACATTCAGATAGCCGAATACACGACACGTGCCGTGCCAACAACTGCATTCACGAGCGGTCATTCGGTGTGCTGTTTGAAGTTCCATTCGCAACTCGTTGCTCAGTTTCCCTGAACATTTTTCTCTGCATAATATATTGCGGTATTTACGCTGCATTCTTTCATTTCTCCTCACTGAACTTTGGCGAGGCGCTATTCAGCGTGCCCATATTTTCCGTTCCTGGAATTTATGACAACAGCACCTGTGTGGCGGTCTTGGAAACACGCTGTTTTGGTCCGGCGAAATTACGATAAACAGCGGCAACTCGAAGAAATGTGGGGCGATGTCGGACAAGTGACAGTGTAACATTAATACTTTCAGTGACACTGCTCGCATGTAGCCAGGTCCGGGGCATTCCGGGAAAGTTTTTGGCGCGGGTGTTGTGTCAGAGGGGGATCTGAAAGGGCAAGGTACACCATTGTTCCACATGCGACGCTGCCTCGGTTCACGGTTGACCCAAAATATACACTCGTTTTGAGCTGAGCCATAGTTTTAAAGTGAAAAGTAGTGACTTTGCAAATTGCATACAATAAGCCTCAAGCACCTCAGCTCTCCTGTTTCCGTAAAGTAACACGGATCAAGCAATAGGTAAGTATGTAGCACCATGTATCGAACAAAGGATTTGCAGAGACGCTACCAGTGGACTATTGATAGCAATCGCCGTCAAGTCCCTATACATAAATTGGCGGCTCATTATCACCTATTATCAGTCGCAACATCTCACGTCACGAGTCTCTAACAGCACCATGGAGCCGTCGACGGCCACTCGAGGCCTGACGTCACCGAGCGATACACGATCTGCAGGCTGGCTGTGAAATCCCAGCAATACACAGACTGGGGGCTGTCTGAAATACCGGCCGATACACAGGCCGCCTGAAATACAAACCGATAGACGGCGTGGTTAAAATCCCAGCCAATACATGGACTGGATGAAATCCCAACAATACCAGTACACGGACTGAAGACTGAAATCCCTGCCGATACATGGGGTGAAATACCAGCAGAAAGGCCCAATCAAGCCTGGCCTGGCTAAGGTGCACAATGCGGGAGGGTTTTCAGAACACAACACACATAATGATTAGATAATTTTTATTATGAAAGCCTTTCGATGGGTGATTGTATGCTTCCCTTTGTGGTCGATATCCATGAAGGCATGGATTGACGTGTAATTGGCCATACAAACTTAGAAACGTCAGAACTAGACGTCAAGAATTAGACGTCCAGTCTCAATGCAGTCACACACATGCGTGCACCGATGGATGCGCTAACCGATTACCGTCCTTCAGCTCTGAGAGGGTCACCCCGCCCCAGCGCCGCTCCCGGCAGATCACACCCCTCCCCCTCCCCACACCGAGCTGGGACAGCTTTATGGCCGCCGTGGCCGCTGTGCGTCACGGATCCTGTCTCGGAGGCGGCGGCCGCTGCCAGGCGCGCACCGCGCTGAATGTCGTCAGTGACGCGGCGCCGGCGGGTCCGCGCCGCGCCGAAAGGGTCGCTAATTGCGGCCACAGTGTGCGGCACGCCGTGTCACCGCGCGCCCCGAGCAGGACATAGATTGTACGCGTCCATACGTAATGCGGGAGTATCGCTCAGGACGCCCGGACCTCCGCGCTTGCGAAACGGATACTGCTGAACCCGCTGGGTGCCGGGCGGTGATCGCTGGCCGCTGCTCTCTGGCCGTTGGGTACACTGTCCTGCTGCCGGTCTCCAGGAGAGGTGGCGGAGGGAAGGATGGCCGGGGCGGGCCGGTGCAGCGGTCCGGCCGTATGCACGTCTCGTGCTGAGCTGGCGCCGGCCGCCGCCGGCCGGGGAGTGGGAAGGTCAGGCGGCTCAGGGTGCCGGCAGTGCAGTGGGCACATCCATCTACTGCTCACGGTCCCAGGTGTGGCCAGGAAGGCCGCGTCGGTACCGCGCCGAACATATATCGCGGATATACGTGTAATGTCCTTCACACCGCGGCGATCGAGCCGGGCAACTCGATGCGTCAACTGTCGGCGCCGAGCTATTCGACAGGACACTTGTCAGACAGGCGAACTTCCAACACGGTCTTAGGAATTAAGGATGTGGACAACGAAAGGACCGTGAATATCAAGTAAAGAAATGCTTCAGGGATTAAATGACACTCAGCATTTCAAAATCAACCCGCTATCAAGTACGGTAGCTTCAATCAAGTCTCAGAAGACCGCATGGAAACACAAAAAGCATGTTTCATGCAGAAACAGCACTCATTAGCAGACACAGCCACCCATGTCTGCAAATAAGTAATTAAGCATACCACGCTGTCACCCTAGAAACAGCAGTAAAACGGAACAAAATTCCACGTACGTCATAAAACGGATACAACATAACTGGCGCGCAGTTTGTATGGAATGTTTTGATTTCAAAGATGACTCACAACCTATCTTTATGCAATACTCAATGCATAGCACTGCACAACATTCTTGCATGACTATGACAATAAAACGGCAGCGTCTGTCGAATCGACTCAGTCGAATCTTCTGAATACGTAGCAATTCAGTCGAAGATGGCGGACCCTCTGCGCAAACAGATGGCGCTGATAAAAGTAAAACAGCCGTACTACTGCCGAGGCATACATAGGTGGAGGAACGGGGAAGGCACCGGACCGGGGCACCGTGACCCCCTTTGATTTTGATTAGCCCTATGGGCGTTGCATGGAAAGAAAGGGACCAAAAGTCGGCAGTGCCCCCCCCCCCTTAATTGAAGGTGTTCCGCCGCTACTGGAGGCATATACTCCCTGCGGCACTGGGGAGGGAAACAACAAGCAATAAACCCCCAATCACCTATCCGTGCTTCTATCCTCAGGATACTGAAATCCTTCTCCTCCAAGCCGCAACCCCCCTCCGGGCTGGACAGGCAACTTTATCTCATGCGGGCTGCTCCCTTGGAGCGGCACCGCTGCTCCTGAGGGAGCGCACCCCGTAGCCGGGTGCAGTGAGTGCCTTGGGGCTGGGTGGCCTGTCCTCTGGACGGGCTCAGCCCCGGCGACTCACTAGGATGCCTGCCCAGACCAATGTCTCCCCCTAATTCCTATCATCCTTCCGGCTCTGCAATGGTCTTGTCGACCGAAAGGGCCTAACCCAACAAAAAAAAAAACCCCAAGCAAGCATCATCGCTTTACGGTAACATTCGTTATTGGCTCAGAAGATTTCGAAATGCCTTCGACCGACCGTCAGTCGTCTCGACCTACTGAATAAAGTTGACTGCGGTTTGCATGAACTCTATTCACACCTCATTTACAAACACTTGAAAAACAAATACTGACTGCTAATGAATACGTAAGTAGCTGCATATCTCACAGCAGTCAGTCTCAATGGCCGTTGACTTCTGTTCAAACTCCTGTTGCAAATAAGAGCGCCAGTTTCCGTGGCATCCGTGGCACTGTGCCGAGTTTGGTGTTGGATGCAGTTGCTTCATTGAAGTTCCCGCGAACAGCCCAGGCGACTGTCTTACCCATTTGGTGTGCGCTGGCTTCGCAATTCATTCAGCGTGAATCATTTCAGATAAGGATTGCATTCCTACTTCATCCTGTAATTCAATATCAAACATGGTCAAACGCAAAAACACAGCAACAGGTGTATTAAACAGCCAATGCCAACTATCCAACTTTGAACGGCAGAACGGGAGGAGCAGCTCCGCCGGGTGTGTACCGACGGTCACTCGCTCTGACACGGACCCCGCGCGGGGAATTAAACCGAGCCGGCCCGGCGCGCTCCACTTCACCCGGCCCCGCGCCGCGGAAACAGCCCGGGAGAGCCACAGCCGAGGGGCAGTCACCGCAGAGTCGGCCCCTTCACAGCACTAAGTGGGGCCCGCACACGAGCGGGGCGGGTACCCAGCACTTTGTCGACTAAACCATCTGTACAAATCACCACTCAAAGAGCAATAGGAAACAACGCACATTAGGAAGCTGGGGCAACAAACTAGATTCACAAATCACACGTGCATTAATGGCAATGAGAAAACAAACTAATCGCTCTACACGAAAACCCTGCATCGCTTTTCAAACCCATACCAGCACTATCTTCCCATCAAATAGGCAAGCTCCTGGCTCCATCGCCTGATTATGTTTCTTACTCCGGGCCTCAGGCCCTAATACCGACCGGCACAAACGCAATGGCAGCTCCTCGAAGAAGCTCTTCCATCGCACCTCAGGCCACAGACCCGGCTGGGCCCCGAGCCATCCGTGACCTGACATTCGAAGCCGCCGGGCACTGATTGTCGCCTGCCACCGGGTTTACCACTGAGCGCATCTCTCCCGGCCCGTCATTCGTCCGGGCCTCGAGATCGGCAGCCGCTGTTGACTCAGCCGGCCTACTACAGCCGCACCTCTCCCGGCCCAACACTAGTCCGAACCTCGAGATCGGCAGCGATTGACGGTTCAGCCGGTGCAGGATGAAACACTGTGATCAGCGCAGAGAACCACACACCCTTCCCGTCCCATCTCACCGACCCTGAGTTGGTTGGTGCACGGCCAGCCGGGGAACACAGATGAACCCCGCGCTGACCGCGGCAAGTACTCGTACGACCTTATCGGGCTGGCACGCAGACTCGTCTGAACTAGATTCAGACGATTCGGCACAAACGCCGGCCAATAAAACACACTCCGGTTGATATTGCCAATTAGATAACGCAATGGGTAAGCCGAACCCAAGGAGGCCAGTCTCTATAGCAAAAGGCAGTAGCCGCTCAGCTGCAGTATAGCTATCCCCGTCCGTCGCCCATAGCCTAGTCTTACGTCGAATAGTTTTGTTCACATTGACAGGCAGTGGCAGTCGCCGCCAGAGAAAACACATCGCCCCACAGAGCATTAGCTGACCTACTGGCCGGGGATTTCGGGCGTTGGAGGCCGTCCCCCCGTAGGTACCGGCCCCTCACACACCACCCTTGTATCCGGCCCCTCACTGCCGGAACCCCTGGCCCCTGTAGAAGCCCCTGCCCTGCTGCGGCGGCGGCGGGTACGTTTTGCCCCTGATCGGCCTCCCGGCGAACCCCTGGGGCGGCGGGGGCGGACCGGGCGCCGCGGCCGCCTGGCCGCCGCCGCCCGGCGGCCCCTGCGGCCCCGGCGGCGGCTGGTGGAACGGCTGCGGCCCCAGACCGGCGCCCACGCCCGGCGGCGGGTCGTCGGGCTGCTCCAGGCCGTAGGGCAGGTGGGTGCCGCCGCCGGGGCCGCCGGGCGGTCCGGAGCGGTTCTCTGGCCGGTCCCAGAGGCGGCACAGCGCCGAGCCCACCTGAGGCTGCACCTCCTGGCCGTCCCGGCTCGTCTGCACGCGTCGGTGCTCGTTGTACGGGTTGATGAGGTGACGGGTGGCCTGGAACGGGATGTTGGCCCGCTTCACCCACTCGATCTGAAAAACGGGACGCAGCAAGCAACAGTTAGTGGGGCAGTTCACGATCGATTGTTTGTGCTTCTGAGTGTATCACAAGTCATCAGAGACGAACCACCAGAACCAGAAGTTTACTAGCAGTGTGTCTCTTGCATGATGTCTCGCCGCATCATTTTATTGTCCTGTTAAATTTACCTGTTTTGGTGTAAATAAACACTGTGATGATCTACCACAAAAAAACTCTTGCATTACTTTGCTTTTAACGACTTGCCTAACCAAAATGTAACTCAATGTCTCGCTAATAACCAACCATCGTTCCATGTCCACCGCGATGTATCCCGCATTGTGCCCAGTGGCGCCGCCTGCCGTACCTTGTACGACTGTCCGAGGTTGGGTCCCTGCAGATCGGGGCACCGCTCCGACGAGGCCTGGCCCAGGAACTTGGCGTAGCCCTGGAAGTGGCCCGAGCCCTGGGCGCTGAACACGAGGTACACGGTGCGCCCCTCCTGCGGAACGAACAGAGCGGTCAGGTCCCGGACAGGTGGCGGCGAGCGCACTCCTTCCACGGATAGGGTTATCAGAGACGGATTATGCAGGCATGACATGAACAGGATATAGTTACAAGCCACACGACAAAACTATTAATGTCGTGATGCAGGTGTCCCCATGAGTCATATATTCATTCAGTTATCATTTATCACTTATTATGTATAAACGAATAACTTACAGATGTGTCCGGCCTCGTGCCCAAACCATCAAACAATTTCACCGACAAACATGAGCATGAACTGATACGAAATCGCACCTTTCCACTAACACCTGTGCTTCTTCCAAAACAAAACAAGCATCCAAAAACACAACCCAACCCGCCCGCTCCCTTCCCTGCCCCCGTACCGCCGTTCACCTTGAAGTTGTGCAGCAGTTTTCTCTCCGTGTTGGGTGTGAACGCCCACACACACTTGGTGACCGAGGCGTCCACGGCTCGGGTGCTGTTCGCCTTGATGATAAAGTAGCGTCCGTTGTTGGCCGCGCCGTGCTGACCTGGGGGGCGGCGGGGGTGGAGTGGGTGTTTGAGGGGGAATAGGGAGACATACCGGTGTGTCTGAGAGATATGAATATCTGATGCATCACCCATAAACAAAATATACCAACTACTGCAAATCAAGCACCGGTGAGCAGTGAACACGATTGGAGTGCGCGATACCGGGTGTACCTATGTATTATCTACCGAAGAAGCTTTAATGCTTTAATTCTATCCTTCGCCTTCAATTCTATATTTATATTTTGTTAGGATTCATAAATGAAGCGTATATCCGACGAAGGACAGCGGAGGACACAAGGGAAGGAAAGAGGAACTGACCGGTATCTGTGTGTCTCGGGGTCGGCGAGTGGCGGGCGGAGGGATTGGCAGAACCCGCACCGCCTCCCCCGCCACCAGCGCCACTGCTACCGGTACTGACAGCACTGCTGCCGCCGCCGCGGTCTCCCGACTTGGGGCGGGCTTCTGAGCGGCCGGCCAGGCGAAGGACGAAAGGACGGACAGGATGCAGGACAGGACAGAGGTCATGATGGATGCTGGACAAGAATACGGAACAAAAGACCAAGTACCTCAGCGAAAATGAGATGGTAGGTTGAGAGCAAAATTCATTTCGAAGGTAGAGGCACAACAAATCATTGAGGAAAACATGTTTCTAAACTTCAACTCGTACCTTTAAATTGCATATAAACGGCCGTCAACTGTCTCTATTTCTCTATACAGTCCACACTACCCGAAACTGTGGCCCACTGACCACGTGCGGGCGCTGCCTGGTCCGGCGAGACCCTCGGCTGCTGCTGCTGCTGCTGCTGCTGCTGCTGGGGACCCGGCGGACCCTGCTGCTGAGCCGCCGGCGGCGGCGGCTCGCGCGGCCCGCCGCCGCTGAACACGTCACTGATGACGGGCCGCGGCCGCTGGCCGATGCCCGGCGGCTGCTGCAGACCCAGCGCCTGCTCCTCCGTGGTCAGCACGGCGATCAGCGTGCGGATCACGTGATCATCCACCTGACAGGACGGAGGGAATAGCTGTCAGCTCACGGCGGTCGGGGTGCGGATCACGTGATCATCCACCTGGTGACACGCGGGAGGGGGTCAGGATCAGCGTGCGGATCACGTGGTCTACCTGGTGAGACGGACAGGAGGACATAGGGTCACGCTGACGCATCTCCTCATCGACATCTATACACACCACATAACTGTATACATAGACACTTCATGTTAGACTAAGGACCAATATCGCGGCGCTGCCGGCCACCCCAGCCGACTCACCTGTGACCAAGTTTTGCCCGGCGCGCGCATGCGCCGTATGAAGAGGGCGTGCCACTTTTGTCTCAGCTGGAGCGCCAGATGCGCCGCGTCCGTGTCCACTCGGAACCCGACCCATTCGTCCAGTTTGAGCATGGTCTTCTGTCCCTCGGAGCGCTCCTCGACCTCCGAGTCCGAGTCGGCCTCCATGTAGCTGTCGCCGCGCATACCCTGTAATACTGCGGACACATGACAGGACGGTCAGACTGCTGACAGACACTGCAGTCAGAGTCCGAGTCGGCCTCCATGTAGCTGTCGCCGCGCATACCCTGTAATACTGCGGACAGCATACACGGGGAGGTAAATTAGTAAGGGACGGGCATACCTCTAACGGGCACAGGATGGCAAGATCACGAGATATTACACTACTAGGATCTTCAAAATTACAAATCCGTACCTGCAGTATAATTATACCAAGACATCCACTTTATCATCACAAACATGAAACCAACAAATAACAATACCCGAAGGTTGTTTCTTCATTAGACAAACACTATTCAAGTATCATCAAGTACCGAAAAGCCTCAGAAAGCTGAGACACACAACAACCCAAAACATCGCCCGTGCGACCTCTAAAACTCCCTTTCACCCCGACCTACCGGCGTCGGCCTCCGAGACGGCGTCCAGGGGCAGTCGCGCCGGGCCGGCCATCAGAGCCACGGTGATCGGGCTGACCAGCGTGCAGCAGCGGACGTGCGCCACGCGGCCCGAGCGCGACAGCTCCTCGAACATGAGCCAGTCGGCCGGCAGCGACTCGATGGCCGAGCGGTGCGCCTGCGCCGCCGTCGTGCGCGCAGACTTGGGCGCGTCGGCCAGCGTCGAGGACGGGTGTAGGCGGACACGGCTCTCCCGCCTGGGGGAAGGGCGGAAATTGGTTATAGGCGGAACAATGAACATGTGAAGAGGGGAGACGACTGATCAACATGTGGTGATGCAGTACGAATGCATTTTTTTTTTTGTAATACGAGAGGGAGTGATATAAACATTGCGTCTGCATAATTGCATTCATTTTGTTACAGGTGTCACTATATTACACCACTCAACTGTGTCCACCCCACCATCCTAACTAACAGCCCGCCCTCACTCACTGTGTCCTCAGCTGGACCTGCTCGCGATCCATCCTAACTAACAGCCCGCCCTCACTCACTGTGTCCTCAGCTGGACCTGCTCCCGGCCCACTCTGATCGGAACCCAGTGTCCCTTGACGTCACTTACTGCGTCCTCAGCTGGACCTGCTCGCGGTCCACCCTGATCAGGTTGGGGTAGCAGCCGGCGCACAGTGCCGCCTTCACCACCGCCCAGATCTCAGAGTTCGAGTTCAGGTCCCTGGCGGACGGAGGCAAAGGTGGTCAATTCGGACAGTTCACACACAAAGGGTAAGCCAACAATGGGGACATGAAGCAGTAGCTCACCTTTGACTCTTATGAAAGAGCTTAACTTTTGGTGACGAGCTGCAATGTAAAATGGCGTCGATAGAAAATGAAAATATTTCCAAACACATATTATGCAAAGTCAGGAAGTATCATTAGAATATATGACCTTCTCCTCGGAAAATGACCAAATGAATGAAAATGATTATTTATTGATGAATTGATGATATTTCGGTCACAGACCTTCGTCTAAATCGAATTCGTGAAATCGTACAAGGCAAAAGTAGCGAGTGAAATGCGCAACAATTGTCGACTGCCTGTAGAAAGAGAAAAATTCAAAATTCGTTTGTCTCGTGGTCGTCATGCAGGGCTAACATCACATTTCGAGGTTCGCATCGCTTTCGATCGTATAAACGTATCGATATCAAATCGTACAACAATATCGAACAACAAAACATCAACAAAACATCTGATCATACACCCTAAAGGTATCATGCACTTACAAAGCAGAAATATAGCTACGCCCTAAAAGGTACACATGAGCAGAAGTTCGGTACAAACAGATTGGCAAAGGCATATTCATCTAAATAGGTACAAGCTTGCTGGCAAGACGGCGAAGTGCCGGCAAGACGGTGCAGCGCCTAGACCCACAGCGGGCCTCGTGATGGATAGGTCAGGCGGCTGGCGGGGGGGGGGGGGGCGGCCGTCGCCGAGCAAAAGGTGTGCGTCATATATAGGTACACTGTACAACGTACATACATACATATAATGAGGTACACATACATGGTGAAATATCAAAAACCAGTAAAATATATATAACATACACATCAAATCTAAAAATACAAAAATACAAAAATACAAAAAAAGTCACACAACTCGCATGATAGGCCATGACGATCCCTGAATATTCAATGTCGGTGTCTCGCTCCTAATGAGTATGCTTTCAGCAATTTTCCTGTCTGGATGATCCTGGGCTCTGTAAAGTATTCTAAGATGTAAAACATCTGAACCCGTATCAGTCAGTGAAACGTGCTCCTTCAGAAAGTGGTCACCGAATGGAGTGTTGGGGGTTCTATTGATAGCGTCACGTCGGTGTTCATTATATCGTAGACGGACTGGACGCATGGACTCCCCCACCCCCAACGATATACGAAATTATGCAAAGTCAGTATAACACAAATTCCCGCTCGTCTTATGTTCTTCCTCCCCTCGTCCCCCCCCCCCCCACCTCGCTTCTGTCACCTTGCCCGCCCTCCGTCTCCGCCTCACCTGATGTCCCCGGCGCCGCGGGCCCGCACGAATCCCGAGGCGCGCAGCTGTCCCAGCAGCTGAGTCCTCATCCCCACCACCGTCTCCATCGTGGCGCTGCTGACAAAGTTCTTCTCGCAGAACGAGCGCTCCCAGCCCTCGTTACGCGCCTTCTGCCATGCCTGCAGCACAGATGGGAGCCCCTCGATTAACGGACTTACATAAGCAATCAGGAAAGTAGGTACACAAAAAAACGTGATACCACATTGCGCGGCAAGAAAAAATGTAAGGAAACAATTTACTGGAACAATAACAAGGAATTACGCAATGCAGTTACTGATGAAGTGGCGTACTACGCAAAACGTCGCAGTCATATGACAACATTGATTCACCGGAGACTCAATAACAGCACGATGTTCGCTCTGAGCAATGACAGTTCAGCCGACGGGGCGCCATCGCCCCTCCCGCGGTTTAGTCACGCCTCACATACCTGGAAGGCTCTCAGTAGCGTCATGTGGTCGCTGTACGTGTTGGCTGCCAGCTTTTTCCGTGCGGCGGCGGCCGCGCGCTTCTGCGCCGGTATGGCGGGCAGCACGAACGGGTCCCGGTGCGCCAGGCAGCAGACGATCGTCAGCACTGGGTCCAGGCACTTGAGCACGATGGAGTAGAGGACGGCCTTGCCGAGTCGCGGCTCGACCGGCAGGTCCAGCAGGTGGTGGCCCAGTTCGGTGACGTCCTCCCACGGGTCCAGCGCGTCGATCGTCTTCAGCAGCTGGACGGCGGCGCGCGTCACCATGAACGGCGGCGGGTCCGGCGTCTTGGCCAGGAAGTCGGCGATGGGTGTGTTGGGCGGCGACAGCATCTTGCTGTGCAGGCAGAGCTCCTGCAGCGGCGTGCGCAGGATCTCCGGGGTCTGGTAGGGCTGCAGCGCCTGGAACCGGCTGCGGCTGAACAGGTGGTAACAGACGCCCGGCTGGCAGCGGCCGGCGCGGCCACGCCGCTGCAGCGCAGAGGCCCGGCTCACCCAGGTCGGCCGCAGCTGAGACACGCCAGTGATGGAGTCGAACGACTTCTGCGGGAGGAGGGCGACACACGGAGAGAGGCTGTTAGTAAAGGGCAGTACCAATGGGACTGGATACCAGTCTGTCGGACAGCTATAACACATCGCTAACCACATATCGCACTCTAAACACACATCCTTTGCAGACCCAAACTGGTCCAGACTCCGCACGAACATAGACGATCTCACCAGCTGGCACAAAACGCACCTCCTTGACCTTTCCGGTATCGATGACGAACACGATGTCCTGGATGGTGACGCTCGTCTCGGCGATGTTGGTCGACAGCACCACCTTGCGGGTGCCGGCCGGCACGGGTCGGAACACACGCCGCTGGTCGCCACTCTGCATGTTGGAGTGGAGGACGAACAGCGCGTGTTGCCCGGGCGGCTCGGTGAACCAGCGCGACTCGGAGAGCACCTCGCGCACCTTGACCAGGTCGTCGTAGCCGGGCAGGAACACCAGCACGCTGCCTGAGGAACGGACACGGCGCGGTGGGTGTCAACAGTGGGGACGGAAGGGGACTAGAAAAAAAGAGGACGAGCGAACGGTAGACCGCGATCTTCTCTATTCAAAGTACACCAAAAGCAATCGCTTTTTGTGTTGCCATGATGTGTCTGTGTCCGTCTGTCAGACTTATTGGTCTGTCCAGTGAGAATCTGTTTAAGCGCTCGTCTCTGTGGACTAATTATTGACCCTCCCTGGGCTGCTCTACAGCGAGAAGCTATCGGAACTCGACTGAGACTCAATGAGCTGGTCTCCGTTGATTATGTGTTTGAGAAGCGCCAGTCTGCATGAGACTGAATGACTCTGTGTGGACTGCGACACTCACCAGACTAGCCTCCCATGAGAACGTGTTTCAACAGCGCCATCTGTGAGACCCTGTGTGTGACTCTATGTCAGACTGTGAGACTCCGGACTCTGACTCACCGGGCTGCTCTCCGGTCAGAACGTGTTTGAGCAGCGCCACCACCAGGTCCACGTCCACCCGCTCGTCGTCGTGGCTGAGCTGGTAGCACTGCAGTAGCTGGCGGTCTTCCTCAGACAGCTGGGCGTCCACCGCCTCCTGAGCGGCGGCGGGGGACGGCCTGCGGGGGGGGGGGGAGAGTGTCAGACAGCCGGGCGTCCACCGCCTCCTGGGCGGCCGTGGGGGAAGGGCTGCAGACGGAGGGGGAGGGGAGGGAGGGTCAGAGAGCTGGGCGTCTACCGCCTCCTGGGCGGCGGCAGGGGACGAGCTACGGACAGAGGGAGAGGGGGAGAGAGGGTGTCAGAGAGCTGGGCGTGCTGGGCGTCTACCGCCTCCTGGGCGGCGGCGGGGGACGGGCTGCGGAAGGGAAAGGGGGAGACAGGGCAAGAGGTAAACGAGGAAGAGTAACTAGCGAGTGGGGAAGACTAAACATTTTCTCCAGTCAGGGTATAGCGGCCCGTACCTGATCAAAAATTCCAACGGATCTTGAACCAGCCTCCCTACGTTGTCCGACCTCATTTCACTGATACTATTACAGATACGAGCTACCTTAGCACGAATCTCACCTCCGTCAAACAGCCCTGAACCCCACCTCAGTTCCCTCTCCGTCTCTCGCTGTCCCTTTCCTCTCGACTCTCGTCCCTCCGCCCCTCCATGCCTCACCCGTAGGCGTCGATGAGCTCGACGGCCTCCGTCTGCTGAGTGCGCTGCGCCCAGTCGCGCGCCGTCCAGCCGTTGCTGGCGTGGATGGACGTGCTGGCGCCCAGACTGAGCAGCTGCTCCACGGCGTTCAGGTTGCCCCGGCCGGCGGCCACCATCAGCGGAGTCGCCGAGGTCTCCGAGTGCTGACAGACAGAGGGCAGGGTCAGTTCGGAACTAGGGGGCTGACGACAGGGTCATCATCAGCGGCGTGGCTGACGTCTCAGAGTACTGACAGGTGGACACGGCGGTCAGAGAGTGCCTGACCAGGAAATGAGCAACTGACAAAACAGCCATTATCCAGGAGCTCACCATTATTCCAAAAAGGCAACCACATGCTTAGCACAGGCTCTGACCTCATCAACCTACCCACTGAAAACAATAAAGCTACACTCCTAATAAAATTATTAAGTCCATGACATGTCACTCTCCTCTACTGATCTGATCGTCCTCAGCTGCGCCATCATCTATCCTCCCTTCTGTTCAGTCCAGCACTCACCTGATAGTCGACGGAGACGTTCTCTGTCATGATGAGGTGCAGGAGCTGCGTGAACGACTCCTCGGAGGCGGCCAGCCAGGCGGTACTGATACACCGGTCCATCAGCTCCACCAGCCACGGCTCCAGTTCGGTGCGGTCGGGGGTCGGCTGGGGAGGGGAGGTCAGATCAGGTCACAATTATAGGTCAGGTTATAACATAATTACACGCGTGTAACAGTTTTGCATAAGCAGCATATCGGGGCTCCCGCACAGTGACTGCCAAGACGACCTCACATCATCACCGCAAATTTGACAGATCATATTCTACGCACGTAACTACACCTGGTGCTCCGTGATGGATGAAGTACCACGCATAGTCTCTGTTATGTAACTGCTTCCTGGTCTAACCCTGTCCGTTCGGCACTTTCACCAGCGCCCTCTGACCACATTCCAACAATCCCTCTCTCTCCCGGTGTCCCATCTCAGTCTGCTGTCCCAGTATGGGCGACACCCCTTACCTCAGTCTGCTGTCCTAGTATGAATTACCCCTACCTCAGTCTGCTGTCCCAGTAAGGGCGACACCCCTTACCTCAGTCTGCTGTCCTAGTATGAATTACCCCTACCTCAGTCTGCTGTCCCAGTAAGGGCGACACCCCTTACCTCAGTCTGCAGCTGTCCCAGTATGAATTACCCCCTACCTCAGTCTGCTGTCCCAGTATGGGCGACACCCCTTACCTCAGTCTGAGCTGTCCCAGTATGGGTTACCCCCTACCTCCGTCTGCTGTGAGCTGTCCTAGTATGGGTTACCCCCTACCTCAGTCGCTGTCCCAGTATGGGCGACACCCCTTACCTCAGTCTGCTGTCCTAGTATGAATTACCCCTACCTCAGTCTGCTGTCCCAGTAAGGGCGACACCCCTTACCTCAGTCTGCAGCTGTCCCAGTATGAATTACCCCCTACCTCAGTCTGCTGTCCCAGTATGGGCGACACCCCTTACCTCAGTCTGCAGCTGTCCCAGTATGAATTACCCCCTACCTCAGTCTGCTGTGAGCTGTCCTAGTATGGGTTACCCCCTACCTCAGTCGCTGTCCCAGTATGGGCGACACCCCTTACCTCAGTCTGCTGTCCCAGTATGAATTACCCCCTACCTCCGTTTGTTGTCCCAGTATGGGCGCCGGGATGTGCGGCCTCTCGATGGCGGCCGCCGCGCCCGCCAGTGGCCGGTCGGCCGCGTGCTCGGTCCACGAGCTGAGCGCCTGCCGTTTGCGCAGCTCCGCCTTGGCGCGCTCCATCTCCGGCGACGTGAATTTCGTCTCCCGGAGCACGTCCTCCAGAAAGTACTCCTTCACCTCGTACATCTTGCCAGGGACTGCGGCAGTGAGGGCGGGAAGGGAGCGTGAGCAGGGCGCCGGGATATGCCGAGGAAATGTAGTCACTTTCAGCCACTACGTCAGTGCTTTCAACTCAACCTAATGCTTTCCAGATAACCTACCGTAAGGCACTTATCGACAGTCGTACCTTAATACTCTGAGCGGATGTATGTAACTAAACATAGAAACAGCGGCATTATTAGCATCGTAAAGGTGTTACGTAATCGACTAAATCTATCGACAGTAGCCAGTAGTCGGTAACCAGAAAAGCATACGTAGTAGACGGAAACACAACATTCGAAGGTTGATCTATCATCAAACACAATGCATTAAGCCCATTATGTAACAGCCGACTCAGCAATGCTGATAGGAAAAGCCTGCAGACGGGAAGAACTTCCCATGAACTTCAGCGCTGAACTCCCTTCATATGCCGCATAACGAACAGCATATCTAAGTGAGCAACCACATTCTAACATAGTAGCTGGACGGGCAGGTAGGCGGACCTAGAATGAGCAACTAACGAGCCGGCACATATATCATTAGCCGGCCGATTCTAGCTGACGGGCGCGCCTACTTTTGACGACGGGGCAGACGTGGAAGTACTTGACGAACAGCTGGGTGTCCATGGTAGCCGACATGAGGATGATCTTGAGGTTGCGGTACTTGGAGATGCTGTCCCTGAGCACGGCCATCAGGAAGTCGGCGAACCGGTCCCGCTCGTGAATTTCGTCCACGATCACTGAGGGTAGAGATACAGGCAGTCACACACACACACCGAACTCACAGAGACAAAGGCAATTCGTCATAGGTTATACCCCTAACGGACACTGCAGTTTCTAGTGAGCCTCCTACGCAGGTTCAAAGACACGTCTCACGGTCATAGTGCGTACGCAGGCCCTGAGTAATGAATTAGGCAGAACTGTCACAAAACCACAAGGATTAGCAGGAGATCCAGCATGCGCCGGGCGTCCCCAGTCAATCACTGATTGTTCCTACCAGTTTGCAGCATGTAACCTTGATAAAACCGCATTCCCAGATCATCAAATCAGCCGCATCCCCGCGGAGACTCGGATTAGCGTCTCTGGCCGGCTCGGAGCGACCACAGGCGAGAGCTGCGGCCGCTCCGGCGGAGACCGAGTCTGGTGAGTCGCGCCCACGCGGTGTGGCCGGCCTGACTCGGGGCGCGCGCGGGCGGAGTCACGGTGAGTCAGTGGTTTTACCATGAGTGACCGTGGCCAGGGCGCCGTCGCCGCCCATCAGGGTCCGCAGCAGCACCCCGCTCGTGCAGAACGTCAGCAGCGTCTTGGGCGATACCCTGACCAAGGATACCACGCAACAGTCACACATACTTATGTAATACGGCAAATACGTGAGAGTCAGGCACGGAATACTGCATACAATAAAAGGAAAAGAAGGCGCGTGTATGAACATATCAGCGGCCTTCAATCTATCTACCTCTTGGATCTATCTACTGGTCTTTCTTTTGCACGACAATGGCCGAATAAAACATATCAGCACTACCATCACACTAATTGCCAGTCCCGCAGCTCTGTTTGTAGAGCGCTGGACTCCTGGTGATTAGGCGGAAGTAGCCCCAGCCAGCTGAAGTCACTGGAGTAGGACCCACAGTGCCCGGCTCTAACTGTCACACTAAGTTGGCATCCTGATTCTCCCGTTACCCGGCATTGCCCGATCGGACAGTAGGAGTCGGGGTCCGCACAACAACTTCTGCTCCCGCCCAGCCAATCCGTCCAAACATTTTAACTAAATCCATAAAACTACGCACCACCACCCTTAGCCCCTGCTCTGTCCCGCAGTCCCCACACCCCTCCCCCACTCCGTTCGTCTGGCGGCGGCCGGTGTCGCACCTGCTCTCCAGCCGTATCTGGTACCCGACCGTCTGTCCGACGGTCTCGTCCCTCTCGGCGGCCACCCGCTCCGCCACGGTGAGCGCCGATATACGCCGCGGCTGGGTGCAGAGGATGCGCAGCGGCCGGCCCGCCGCGTGGTACTGGTCCAGCAGGAACTGAGGCACCTTAAACAGACACAGGGAGGGGAAGCGGTCAGTGGTCATACGCACTACACAGGGCGTGTTAGTGAACACATCGGAACATCGGTCAGCGGTCATACAGGACACGGTGCGCCGCCAGGGAATACAGGGAACACCGGTCAGGGAGCACACCACGGAGCACCACCGGTCAGCGAGCACACCATGGAGCACCACCGGTCAGCGAGCACACCATGGAGCACCACCGGTCAGCGAACACACTACGGAGCACCACCGGTCAGCGAGCACAGCACGGAGCACCACCGGTCAGCGAGCACACCATGGAGCACCACCGGTCAGCGAACACACTATGGAGCACTACCGGTCAGCGAGCACACCATGGAGCACCACCGGTTAGCGAGCACACCATGGAGCATCACCGGTCAGCGAGCACACCATGGAGCACCACCGGTCAGCGAGCACACCATGGAGCACCACCGGGCAGCGAGCACACCACAGAGCACCACCGGTCAGCGGTAAAACAGAACGCTGATCAGCGGCCAGAAAGAACACAGACAGAACAACGATTACTGATTAGTGAACACGCACGGAGCATCGGCCAGGGGTCACACAAGGAACATCAGTCATTTTACAGCTTAACTGTTGGACACAAAAACATTACGGTAGGACGAGCAGTGAACAGTAGGGCAATTATATCAGCCGACTATTACGATGCATATTGCATAAGCATCATTTCCCCCTTTTTAATGCCGGCGTCCATTAAAACTTATTTATTTATTTATTGCACTTCATCAGATCGTTCCGCTAAAATAGGGCTATTCTCCGATCATCGTCATGACAATATGCATAGGTATGAAAAAACACATACACACACCAGATAAATTGACAGGTACAATGACGGCATAGCAGTGATAAAGTACACTATCACGGCATAGACCTACCCGACTGCGTTACTCTGGCGCAGTAAGTCCTTCAACGCAATAAAACCAGCAATGACGTCAAATCCAATTATTTTTGTAACTCAGATAAAATAATATTTGTCAAATGAAGCAGCGAGGAAAATATTCTGCAACATTTTGCGTTCTACAGGCTATAAAATTTACCTTAAATGTGAAAAGCAGTTAAAAGAAGCTTGTGAATGCAGGCAAGCCAACAAAGTAACGTCAACATCTCCGCAAAGCAAAAACCAGGCAGGAGCTTCAAGGAAATCCCAGAGTATTGTGGCCAGTTTCACCCTTCCAACCGAGACCGCCAGAAAGTTCCAGTCACGAGATATACGAGATACATGCGGCCGCTGGCGATCGTGCAAAGTAAGAGATTATGCTACAAGTAGCTGATGTGATTCCGTTGCTGGCGATCGCTGGTTCGTTCAACGTAGTTATTTATTATATAGCCCGAGAAGCGCTGCACCAGAGGTCGAGAGAGGAAGCCCCACTTCCAGGTCACATGGCGAGAAGTTGCAAATGGCGTTTAATCCCTTCAAACTGACCATGGTTCTAATTATAATCGCTACCGTCTCATTCGACTCAAGTGACCGGCCACTCCTTTGCCCTAATATTACAACATGGCCTACATATGCAGGTTAACATATAAGTTGCCTGACTTTTGCCGAACACCAAACAGGTATTTGGTTTAATTGCTTTTATCTGCAATCAAGACAAATTCGATAAAGATTGGCTTCCCGGAGATTTTCGCGAGCTAACGTCGTGGCCAGCGGTACGAGACAGTCATTGGTTTACAGCTTTACGAAGAAACCGAACTAGCCAACGACCATGGCAGGTGACAAAATGTTTAATTACATTGCCAAATATCTGTCTAATGTGCCGTCGCGGCATTTTATTACGTCGAAGCGATTAGGGCTCAGCAAAACACGAGGGGCCCGGCATCGTCGCTCCTTTCCCTGACGAGCTCGTCAAATATGTATGTCCGATGCACCCAACATTCAATGGCCTTCAGAGTACAATGAGTTTGAGGTCATGGAAAGAATAGAATTAATCCTGCTATGAAGACTGTCCTAATATTGCTTCATTGTTTATGACTTAACCCTCGCCGGCCGAGGGGGGGGGGGCGGGTGCGGCCCCCCCATAGTTTTTTCGCGATAGCTCCGAACACGCTGGCGATAGAGAGCTGAAACTTGGCATACCTGACCTTTGATCCAAGCCGCATCTTTTGACACCAACCGCATTTTTGGGTCAGGTCAGGTCACTGACCTATGACGTCATAAGTGAACCTCTGCACGGTCTTCAGATGTCGCAACTTCGCAACGCCCTCACTGCCAGAGGAGATGTCACAGGGAAATGAAACTTGCAGGATCTAGTATCCATTATGAGTCTCACAATTTGTATATCTCGGATTTTTCCTAAAGGTCATATGAGGTCAGGTCATTTTCGTGACCTCACCATTATAAGTCAATGGGGAAAAATGAAAACTGCTATTCTGGCGCCGGGAACGATCTCCAACTATCTCAAGCACACAGAATCGTGATTTGATGCACTCCTTGCAAGGTTAGATGCGTCACTTTTGCAATGTTGACCTTGCGTGACGTCATTTATGACGTCATCAAGATCAAGGTCATATTAGTTTTTCGTCAATAACTCTTGATAAAATTGAGCTAGCGAGTCGAGAAGGCCACCAAGGGACTCAGGAAGACCTGCCGAATCGAATGATATGCGACATGACCCCTTTCGACGAACTTCGTGACCTGGGGGTGCTGACCTGACCTTGACCTGAGGTCAACACCCCAAGTTGACCTGACCCGGACAAAAAGTATATCATTCGACGCGCCTGAGCGAGGCAAACACGATGCTGCCAAAATCGCGGCTCTGCGGCCGTTTTTTGCGAAGTTGTTCACCAAAAACTGAACCGTACCCTGGGGCACTTGACCTGACCTCAGAGGTCACCGGTTGACCTAGGACCTTAAAATCGGGTACCAATCTCTGCGTCTCGTAACGGCGCACATGCTCGTTTTTTCCGCGACGCGCTAGCTCCACCAGGGGCGAAACGGCGAGGGGGGTCGTACCCGCCCCCCCCCCCTCGGCCGGCGCGTATGTAGAAAACCAATAGGTCCGGCGAGGGTTAAAAGAAGGGCGAGGCCAGCCAGAAGTCCACAGTTCTGGTAATGTCATTGCCATACATGACATGATCCTGACACTACAGAGGCGTGTCTTCGATTCCACGATAAAAGCCCATCATTCATTGGGCTAGAGGCAGTATTGTCTATGGCGCAACCTTATCTGCATTGTCTTATAAAAATAAACATCAGATCTCGCGGTCAAAATGCTCCGTGCTGCATTGTTATGAAAGATTCGCTATAGCGGGCCGACACCCGGTTGATCACCCGATAGAGTAGTGCAGCTCGACTGGCAGCTCGACTGGAGATTTATACCGGTCGAGGGAGTACATCCCTTCTGGTTTCCAGAAAACCGGCTGGTGTAGGATGTTCACTTTGGCTGATTCAGATGGCATGTGCCACTTCATGTGACACATTTCTGAGACTTGCCCCCGTTCTGCGCGTTAAATGTATTAGCGACATGTGTGAAACTCTAAAACACAAGTTCACTGTTCAGTGCGATGGTAGTAATGGTAAGAGCGTCTTGTATCTAGCTCTTGCTAGTTATGATAACCACTCAATTATAAAAAAGACATGCAATAGCGTTTACCACTGCGCGCGCCTCAAGAAAAACCCGAGGAGCAAACTGAAGTACAAGTGACTCTTGCGCAATGCGCATGTACGACGTACGCGTCATGTTCATTGTTCATGACTTTTTCTCCAGACCAGCCCCAACAGGCACTTGGGCACTGACAGTAACCATTACCGGGCTGCGTGTCGGGCCTTGAGCGGCGCACGCTGCCGGCACCTCGTCCGTCGTTCGTCACCGTGCACATTGCACACTTGCACCGTGCACAGCGCACGTTTCCGCGGTGGCTTCGCGCGCCCGCTCGGACCGGTTTCAGCCACCGTCCCGGGACACGCCATTGGACGAGACCACTCATTTTATTTGATTCACAAAGATCGATTTCAGGTTCGGAAAGCCCAAGTCTCAGCGGATTAGAGCAGCCGCATTAGAACGTAGTTCAGAGTGAGCAGGACCAGTCATCCACGCTGGAAATACCAGCGGAAAAACACTGCACCGCTGGCCCGCATTTTTTCATGACTGCAAACTGTGCATAGCGAATGTGCGTAAGAAATGTACGTCATATATTCATAATTGCATATATCTATAAACAGGCGAAAAAAACTATAGGTAAATGAGACAAACTCCAGTGACATTTAAAACGGATGAAGTACCAAACATCCGCCTTCCACGCATTTATACGTTACCAGTATAACGCCTTATGGGGCGATTAACGGAGCGAGCGAGAGGGTGGGCCTTGCACGTGCGAAATTGCGAGGGGGTACCTCCAACTGACGACTTGTGCACGGCACCCTACTAACCGGTCTCTAGCGATGTGCCAAATTTGAGCACAATCGGCTCAGCCGTTCTCGAGATCTGGAAGCGGCACCCTGCACGTGCGCACGTGCAAAATGGGTCCCAACTGACTTGTGCACGGCACCCTACTAACTGCTCCGTAACCGTGTACCAAATTTGAGCGCCATCGGTCCAGCCGTTCTCGAGATCTGGAATGGACCCCTGCACGTGCGCACGTGCAGCAGCACCCCAACTCTGGCACATGGATATGCATTGCCTAGTGGGTGCCTACCTACATGCCAACTTTCAGCGCAATCGGCCCAGTAGTTACCGAGATATTGCAACAATTACAAAAGTGACACCTCTTCGTTTTGCACGTGGCACGTGCATAAGGGGTCACCCACATGCATCAGGAATAGTCCAATACTTGGTAGAAGGAATGAAGCTACCCTACAAAAATTACCGCATGTAAATCGGTCAAGTGGTTGCTGAGATATAAGCGTCGCAGAATCGTGACCACGGCCGGCCGGCCGGCCGGCCGCTCATACTCAGAAATTTCCGTTATTCTACGTAAGACTCCGCTCGCTTCGCTCGCTCCGTAATCACATTCAACTCAGCGAGACCGTCCATTAACGCCCTGATTTTCGTTCCGAGCTCACAAAATGTGTCGAGCCACGGACCACCATTGCCGAGGGTATGTGGTGATCTATAGTGGTGGAACTCACGTTCGCTGTTTGAAGAAGCTACAGGGAAGAGCAGGATATGAGCTCACGATTGAGAAAGTAATGGGGCAGTTAACAAGCTACCTGCGTCTTCTGCAGACGGGTTAGCACAAAAACGAACAATTTTCTGAGAAGCCACAGTGACGAAATTATGTTCCGATGTTCCTTTTTAGCAATTAGACATGATATCGTGGTATGCTGCATGTGTCGGCGGATGACTTCGGGCTTTATCCGATAATAGCTCATCAAGGTCAGCGTAAGCACATAACACACGCGGACATGGTAGTAACCATTGTTTTCAAATATCATTTTCAGAGAAGTATGCGCATCTGGCTGACCTTATCCTCACTTCTGTATGGAAATATGAAATTGCCAAAATAAATTACTGTATTAAAAATCGAGATATTTCGAGCACAGCTCTTCGTCGGTCGATTGTAATTATTTACACACATAACAGGCACACAATGTCGAATTCGTCTCAAGTTCTTCAGTAATGTCGCAGTAAGAAATTTAAATACACAGATCCCGTGCAAATTGATCACCCTAGTTCCTACCTTAAAAATATATCTACACATAATTCCCCAGTTAAACTAGCAGTACATATATAGGTATCTTTCAAGAACCAATTCACACACATTTATATACATTATTTTGGAAGAAGCTGCCATGATGTAGTGTTATCGTTAATTTTGGGCCTGGCGTCTCGGATGAAGATGGATTCAGCGATTCTTCTATCCGCTTCGTCTTTGCATACACGCAGGATTTTGGCCGTCACCGAGATGTCGCGTCGATCCATCTCAGGGTGCTTATGCAGCGCATGCTCTCCTAGGGGAGTGTCCTCTTCTCTGTTAATGCCGTTCCTCCGATGCTCGTTGTAGCGGAGTCTAACTGGCCTGCTCGTTTCTCCGATGTAGGTGTCGCCGCAGTGACTGCAGGTAAGTTCATATACCACGTTTTTGGTAGTGCACTTGGACTGTAGCCCCGCCTGGCATGAATGACAGCACCTTCGTCCCGAGGGGCAGGGGGCTGGGTTCAGTCGTGTCTTGACCAGTCGTTTCTTCAGGGTGTTGTTGGTGGTCCATGCTATCTCCACTGGTAATCCAGAGTTGATTGCAACCTTCTTCACCTGAGCAGCCACCTTGTCATTAACGAAGGGCAGTCGGATATATGTGCCTTGTTTCTTCTTGTTCTGTTGTCGCTGATCTGGCCGTTCCCGTCGTTCTCTTCCTCTGTCTCTGCTTCTCTCTTCATGTTTCTTCATTTCCCTCCAACTGTACTCCTTGATCATCTTCATCGGATATCCATTACTGACAAACAGATGACGTATCTTCTCGAGCCCTCTTTTTCTTGCCGCTGTGTCTGAGCCAAGACGGATCGCCCTAGTGATCTGTGATGTGAGCACAGCCTTCTTTGTAGACCTGGCATGTGCCGAGTCATACGGCAGAATGATCGGTGCCGCCATGGGCTTGAAATACAGCTCCGTGCTGTATGAGCCGTCCTGTCGCACGCTTATCAGTGTGTCCAGGATTACCAGTGGAGATAGCATGGACCACCAACAACACCCTGAAGAAACGACTGGTCAAGACACGACTGAACCCAGCCCCCTGCCCCTCGGGACGAAGGTGCTGTCATTCATGCCAGGCGGGGCTACAGTCCAAGTGCACTACCAAAAACGTGGTATATGAACTTACCTGCAGTCACTGCGGCGACACCTACATCGGAGAAACGAGCAGGCCAGTTAGACTCCGCTACAACGAGCATCGGAGGAACGGCATTAACAGAGAAGAGGACACTCCCCTAGGAGAGCATGCGCTGCATAAGCACCCTGAGATGGATCGACGCGACATCTCGGTGACGGCCAAAATCCTGCGTGTATGCAAAGACGAAGCGGATAGAAGAATCGCTGAATCCATCTTCATCCGAGACGCCAGGCCCAAAATTAACGATAACACTACATCATGGCAGCTTCTTCCAAAATAATGTATATAAATGTGTGTGAATTGGTTCTTGAAAGATACCTATATATGTACTGCTAGTTTAACTGGGGAATTATGTGTAGATATATTTTTAAGGTAGGAACTAGGGTGATCAATTTGCACGGGATCTGTGTATTTAAATTTCTTACTGCGACATTACTGAAGAACTTGAGACGAATTCGACATTGTGTGCCTGTTATGTGTGTAAATAATTACAATCGACCGACGAAGAGCTGTGCTCGAAATATCTCGATTTTTAATACAGTAATTTATTTTGGCAATTTCATATTTCCATACAGAAGTGAGGATAAGGTCAGCCAGATGCGCATACTTCTCATGATGATATTCCTCAGAACGCTTAACCACTTACGATCATTTTCAGACGTGAAACGAACGGCTTATGTAAGCGAAGCGTTACCACATGTCTGGCGTCAAACTTGATCGAATACGTAAAAAAGTACGGATGCAAGACCGACGTAGGACGGTGAAACGGGAAAACGTATCGAAGCATCGGTCACGTCATCTACTATTATATAACTTAGTTGAATATAAAATGTATTGTGATTTTTTTTGCAAGCAGAAAAAATCAATCTTATAAACCTCACGTGTCAGTTCGAACAAGTCGATGCCGTTATTCTTCATCTATCCCAGCCCTATGAGAAATGTGCGACAGTCTAATAACGCCAGCGGATAGCAAGTTAGAACAGCTCACCCCTAGCAACTCAGCCTGGCCAGGGAGACGGTGTGATGCAACACAAAATCAGTCAGCATTACGCTGCATTGTACTGGGGACGAGCTTCCTGACGAGGTTTAAAGTGGGGAATACTGGCCAGAGTTGTCCCTGGTCGATCTCTGAGAGACACGACCCACACTGCACTGGGCACGAGTGACCACGCTGCTGAATAGCATGCCGTCGAGCACTGACCGGAGAATGCCCCCAGTGCCAGGTGGCATGTAGGGGGCGGCATCCAAACGGGCTACGTCAGATGACAGTGACGGTGAGTCACCCCATAGTCAGAACATGGGAAGTCCATCCCCCAGTGGGAGAGGATCCCACGGCTGGCCGACACGACAAAAAAAAAACTCCATGACTACTTCAGATCATGGAAGATAGACGATTTGATCTAAAGCGAAAATCGGCGGCGAAGGAAAACTTTTCGGCAGCAAACGTGCGTTCTACCCGTAAAATGTCATACCGAGCCCATCGCAATTCGCAACAGCTATATGGATGTTCATAAAGTACATGAATAAGGCATAATGATCACAAATCGATGTTTGAATCGAAAGTTGGAATCGAAATCGAATTCGAAAATGGTAGGCCACACACGCTACACACCAAAAAAAAGTCACAAGAGGTTCCACTTCGCTGTTCACGTATTTGATTCACATTTTACGTAGTTAAATGCATAATATTCTGTAGAGCATTCAAACAAATCAACTCAAAAGAATGCTGACTAAACTTGACCTTCAAACGATCGCCTCCACCGTCAGCCAAAAAGTCACATAATCATGTAAGATCGCAGCACCTGGGCCAAATACCACAGGAGCTTTCGTTTGGGACATGAGCGTCTTCTCTTCTTCAATCGTCTTCCGCCAAAGACCGACCTCTGAGTCACCTTCATCGCTTTTCAGCAGACGTGCTAATGGCGCAATAAGAAACGGAGGCAGCAAAGGTCGGACTTAGACGCCGCATCAGCAGTGACACCAATGTCCCTGCCTATCGAACGAACATCAGTCACCCAGGCCGTGACCTCACCCAACACGGACGAAGCGCCGGTCACTGCGCGTCCATCCAGCGCTCCCACCGCCGTCTGGCGCCCCAGTGCGGCGTCATCGCGATTAACTGGCCGATGACGCCGGCCGGTGGCTGACGGGGCACCGGCGGGGAACCACGCACGGCGCGAGGGCGGTACGGTTCAGAGTATAAAACCCCTCCGCCGACCGGGCACAGGCAGAACAGGGACAGCAGCCGAGCACAACACTCACAGTCCGCCTACCCACACCGACAACATGAACTTCAAGCTGGTGGTAAGTGACGGGCGGCCAGAGGAGGCTCAGATAACTCTAGCTAAAAATTCAAAGTCATTTCGAAAGCTTAACTTTTAGGTAACATAAGTCTGATTTTTAAAGACTTTTTGTATTGCTTTTCGTTCTTACTTTGGTAGCAGTGCATGCAGATGTGAACTGGAAGGAAATAATTATTTTTTCAACTAGGTATAGCTCAGGAATTAAAGTAAAGAAAGTTCGGACACAGGAGTTTATGAGCATAAGGAGTAACGCTCATACTACGATGCGTTTTGTGGCGACAATGCTCCTTCATTCAGACACCTGTCCTACCCTACTGACTAGTGTTGTCAATCGGAACTTGAATCTTCGGAATTCCGATTTTGTCCAATGTCCAATTCGGAATTTGGTTGGACAATGACAGCAGACTTTGGACAACATTGGACAATCACTTGCTACACCTCAGATTTTTATAAAGTAATCGTGTTTATCATTGATTGGCGAATATAAGGCACAACTTTCGATATGATTAACATTTTTGAGCTGGTAATAGTACATTAAAAGCAAGACAAATAGCAATGTTGAGTGTAAAGTATTGCGTAGATTTCGGTCATCTTTGGACAAATGGCTGGCTTGGACATTTTTGGACGGACAGTCGACGTAAGTATTGGACATTGGACAGACTTTGGACATACATTTTCTGAAACTGACACCACTACTACTGACCCCTCAGCTGCGCTGTCCCTGTCCGGAGTCCACAGCCCTAACGGAAAGACCCCTCATCTGTCCCTGTTGACAGTCCCCACAGGACTGACACCTGCACTGCTCCTCAGCCCCTGTCGATAGTCCTCGCCTGCCCCTGTTCACAGCCCCCTCTCAGACTGACCCTTGCGCTGTCCCTGTCTACAGCCCGACAGGGTCACAGCCCTACCGCTTGTCGACAGCCTCCACTGAACTCACCCCTGCACTGTTCCTCAGTCCTCAGTCCATCACCTGTCCCTGTCGACACCCCCTCTCAGGCTAAGCCCTCCACCTCTCCCCGCCCGCAGCCTCTCCCAGACTGACCCTCCACCTATCCCCGCCTCTCGGACTGACCCTCCACCTGTCTTCGCCCACAGACCCTCTCGGACTGACACCTGTCTCCCCGCCCACACCCCCTCTCCCAGACTGACCCTCCACCTGTCCCCGTCCACAGCCCCTCTCCGACTGACCCTCCACCTGTCCCCGCCTGCAGCCCCTCTCGGACTGACCCTCCACCTGTCCCCGCCCGCAGCTTCTGCTCCTGGTGGTTCTGGTCGGCGTCGCCGCCGGGTTCGGGTTCGGCCGCAGGGGCGGCGGATACTACGGTGGCTCCCGCGGCGGCTACTACGGCGGATCCCGCGGGTTCGGCCGCGGAGGATACTACGGTCGCGGCCGCGGCGGCGGATACGGCTACGGCAGAAGGCACTACGGCTAGTCTCCCCGACCCGACCTACCGAGCTTTGACCGCGCCGCTGGTATCCGGCGGTGGCGGCGGTGCCCCCTCGCCCTGGGGCGGCAGGGAGACGGCAGTCGCCGGACCGAGGGTGTCCGGTCCGTCAGACTCTGACCGCGCCCGGCCCACCGGTCGGTGAAGTGCCGTGTCCCTGTGTTCGTCCAGTACCCCCTCAGTGAGAGGTCCCGACCTCCGGCCGCCTGAGGCCGTCCGCCTCGCACCTCGGCTGAGATGGATCCCCGTCCTCCGAACACTGATATGCTTTGATGCTTATTAATGTTGACGGAGAACTTTGTTCAACGCGACTGTCCTTTGCGATAGAAATATACGTATAATGCAAACATATTTTTGCCTGTATCCAGTATTGTAGTTAATATTGAATCTAGGGTACTTTAGGAAACAGCCGCATTACGAACACCGCAATTATTATCCCGTGCCCTGCTGGGGGGGGGGGGGGGGTCCCAAAAATCTTAAGAACGGCGGCGTGGAGCGCCACCGTTTTTGGCACACCTTATCAAACATCAATTCTACACATGTGAAAATTTCAGACCAAGGTCATTCAAGGTCAGGTCACCAGGTCACTTGAAGTGACCTCACCTCATAAATAGTTCCAATGTCTGCCATAGCTACACCGAAAGACCGATCGCTTTGAAACTTTCAGCGATTGCTAAGAGCAGTATGTACAAAATGTATATCTCAGAATTTTGATATCGATGACCGAAGGTCAGGTCAATTTTGCAACCTCCCCATTATTGGTAAGTCAATAGGAGAAAACTGAAATGCGCCGCTTTTGGATGAAAACCATTATAAACACTCCCAAGCACTGAAATACAAGTAACTTATACATACTGACCTTGAAAATGGTGTCCGTGACCCCTGTTTATGCCCCTGAGGTCATCTCAGGTCACGAATGGTATCTAACAGTTGTTCGCAAATAACTTTTGATAGATGCATGCTAGAGCAATGAATACGCCTTAAATGTGTTCAGCTTGACGATACGGATCGACTGCTATGTAACATGACCTTTTCCGGTCAGGTCATGACCTTGACCTGAGGTCAAATTTTCAAGTTGACCTTTCAAGGTCAAATTATAGTTCATTCGAAGCGTATCGACGAGAAGAACACAATGCTGGCAAAAGTACCTAATGTCGTAGCTCTTTTGAGTCAAAATTATTGCCGAAAAAACGTTCGTAAAAACGGCTATTTTTGGAGATTTTGCCCTCTGGACCTACCGCGCCTTCAAACAGGTTAGACAGTGCCTAAGCTATCCTAATGAGCGCGACGACTCTGCAAAAAAAAACGTCAGGAACTAAGTAAAGCGACGTCACTGTTCCATAGCCCTTGCAAACGCAGGAATGACAGCGAGGAAGGCCATTTCGTCGGGCGGAGCACCGTATAAAACCCGTCTGCGAGCCGGGCAACAGCAGAAAGGACACAGCAGTCGAGCAACCCACTCACCCTACGCTCACTGACGACAACATGAACTTCAGGCTGGCGGTAAGTGGTCAGGGGCGGTAAGGTTAGTAGGAAGAGGGTTCGTAGCGCGCATAACTTTAAGCTGTCTGCATCAGAATTAAATAACGCAGAACGCTTACAGCAGTGACTTCTTTCTATTGCAAACCATCAGTTCTAAGACAACTGTTTCTCATTTTCCCCATACTGACAGCATTGAACTAAGCTAAGCATCCGTAAATTTCAGGTTTGTAAAGTGCAAATGGATCTTAAGACATGACCATTGAAATATGCTAGAAGCTTCAGCCATTAACTAACTCGAATCCATGAGCCAGCTACACCAGCTACACAGCTACCACCACTGAGCAGCCCCGCCACCAAGGCTCCCTCGCTCAGACACCCGTGCCACTGTCCACAGCTCGTGCTGCTGGTGGCTCTCGTCGGAGTCGCCGTCGGAACCGGATCATACGGACGCAGGACCGGCGGCGGATACTACCGTGGAAACGTCGGTGGTGGCGGATACTACCGTGGAAACAGCCGCGGATACTACCCCGGGAACAGCGGATACTCCCGTGGAATCGGCGGCGGATACCAGGGCGGTCGCCGCATTGGATACAGCCATGGACAGAGGAGCTACGTCGGCTAGTCCCCCGACCGCTGCCGACCCCACCTACCGACCTACCGAGCTCTGACCGCGCCGCTGGTATCCGGCGGTGCGGCAGGGAAGGGGTGGCCGCCGTGCCCCCTCGCCCTCGGGCGGCACTCACGTGAGACTCACCGCAGCTGATATGGATCCCCGGTCTCTGACAACTGATCAGTGCCGAATGGTCGGCGCTTATTGCTGTTAGAGAAGAACTGTGCTGGATGTGACTGTGCTTGGAAATACAAATATACGTCTTATGTACCAGAAAATGTCTTTTACACACTGGTGAATGGTTCAACAGCAACCACTACGGAGCAGAAACGGACACTGTTTTCTACCCTCGACATCTCGTAAAATAATGCAGATATGAGACTTTCAGATGTCACTTCCCATGTCATTTCCACAAATGCCGATGCCTTCTACATGCCTTCTACACACAACTCGGAGTCGGTGGTTGTGATAACTCGAACGGAAATGACGTAAAAGTCGCGCCCTGTTTTGTCATTTTTGGCCGCAAAAAGGTCTGATGGAAGAGCTGTGACGCCAGCAGTTCAGATGAAAAATTGCAGAAAAAGGTGCAGACATGATCGTGCTAGCAAACTGTTACCAAATTCTAGGGATTGCGGCCAACCCATATAAAAAATAGTTCCTTAAAGGGACCCTCCCACCTTAACATTAGTTTTGAGTTGAGATAGCCAAGTTTGCGGCCAGGCTCAGAAACCACCATTTATCCTGGTCGCAACCCCCGCAGCTTTATGGTGTTCAAGAAATTTCTTCCCTTTACTTGCAAGGTGGGACCAGCGTGGTCCCTATCTCTTAACCATTACGGGAGTCTGATGACGTCATCAGGCTTTCGAACGTCCGTTAAATGTTTGACTAAAACGTTTTGTAGCACGCGGTGGTATATGCTGCTTTGCGCGCAACAAATGCCGCACTTTCAAATAAAGTCGCTAGGAACAGCGGAGATCCCAAAAAGTAAACAAAAGTAAAAGTCTAATATCTTGAAAACCGGTGAATATTTTTCGATGAAATTTGGTAGATATTCGTTTTTGCTCTTTCTGAACCGAGCGACATCACTTTCATGCCAATTCATTAACTTTTTTGAAGGTGGGAGGGTCCCTTTAAACTCTTAAAATATTCATGACAAATGATAAAAATAGAAACATGTGGGTAGGACGATACTTTGTTTACTTTCGCAATGGTGGCCGGGGGGGGGGGGGGTGGCCACACCCTTCAGTTGTTTGTGTGTAAAGAAAACCGCAACACGCAGCGTCGCGAAACTTGGTATAACATATGCATCAATTTCATATCGTCTGTACAATTTCTACCCCCAGGTTATCTAAGGTCAGGTCACCAGGTCAAGTTAAAAACCCATGCCTCTAAAAAAGCGATCCTGTCATTCCTTTGTTATAGGTCATCGCCTAGAAGTCTGCAACTCAGTGAATTACACCATTTACACAACAGTACCTACCAAGTACCAACTATTTGTATGTGTCAAATTTTATATATCTGTGAACTGGGTTAGGTCAGACTTGTAACCTCACCATTATGCATATGGAAGGAAATGTGAAAAATACAAATACCTCTTGCTTTGAACAAACACGTCAAAACAACAGGAGATTTATAGAACTATGAACATTTTACCCATATGCAAAGGACAGGATGCAGCTGATGGTCAGCGGTCACTCAAAACGTCATGATCATATTTCATAAAGCACCAACAATAATTCCTCGACAATAACTTTCGGTTCAGACAAGGCATATCAGTGAAACCTGTCCTTTATTTTATTTATTTACCTCTAAGTGGCCATTCGCTATATATGACCCGAGTCGAAGAGGCCATTCCTGACAATGAGTCAATTAAAGATGGCGATGAAGTGGGTAAAAGAGCATTATGCAACGACATAAAAAGCGATGTGTAATGTTAATGTGGTTGGAATGTATTCAGTACAATAATACGGATAAATACGGATCCGAAACGTTATTCTTTTGTCAGGTCATGACACAGAATTGGTCAAATTTCAATGTTGACCTTTTGAGGTTAAATTATGGTAGTAGCATAATCTTGAAATTATGGTTGATTCGACACGTCTCAAAGAGATAAATGCGCTGATGGTTAGCTAAATACCACAGGTTGATTGAGTTTAAATTTAACTTGCAAAGCAATGTTGGCAAAATCCGTCTATTTTGGCTATCGTGGGCCAAACTGTTGAGCTGAGGTTAAGTCTGTGAGAATGCTAATGTAAGAGCTTTCAAAGAGCTACCGAATGCGTTTTCCATCAACACAGTAGCTCTTTCGGTTCACGAGTTGCACTGGTCTGTGAAATAAGGTCAGTCATGAAAATTTGACAGCAAACCTCTGTCATGGATGTTCAAAAGTGAGCTCTGCAGCGTTGTCCTGAGCAAAAAAAAAACGACCTGTAGGCTGTATACTTCTGAAAGAGCCTATACAGAGCTATTGGTTGCTTTTATGCGCGTCTTTATAGTTTTCTTAGTATCTGAGATATCCGGGTGAGGTCAAAAGGACCCCCGCAACCATAGCAAAGTTGGCTGGGACCCACAGGCCACACCTCGGCGCGGGTTAAAAAAAAAAACTGATCATCACTTCTATCCTGACTACTACCAAGCCTTCCCAAATAGGTTACCTGACTACTACCAAGCTTGCTCAAACAGGTTAGGCAGTGCCTAAGCTATCCTAATGAGCGCGACGACTCTGCAAAAAAAAACGGCAGGAACTAAGTAAAGCGACGTCACTGTTCCATAACCCTTGCAAACGCAGGAATGACAGCGAGGAAGGTCATTTCGGCGGGCGGAGCACCGTATAAAACCCGTCTGCGAGCCGGGCAACAGCAGAAAGGACACGGCGGTCGAGCAACGCACTCACCCCACGCTCACTGACGACAACATGAACTTCAGGCTGGCGGTAAGTGGTCAGGGGCGGTAAGGTTAGTGGGAAGAGGGCCATAATACCACGCAGAACTTTCGCTGTCTGCATCAGAATTAAATAACGCTTACGGCAATGACTTCTTTCTATTGCAAAACATCAGTTCTAAGATCACTGTTTCTCATTTTCCCCATACTGACAGCATTGAACTAAACTAAGTATCTGTAAATTTTAAAAGGTTTATAAAGTGCAAATGGATCTAAAGACATGATTATTGAAATATACTGAAAGCTGCAGTCATGCAAATCCATGACCGAGTTACCTCAGCTACAGCCACCAATACTGAGCAGCCCCGCCACCAAGGCTCCCTCGCTCAGACACCCGTGCCACTGTCCACAGCTCGTGCTGCTGGTGGCTCTCGTCGGAGTCGCCGTCGGAACCGGATCATACGGACGCAGGACCGGCGGCGGATACTACCGTGGAAACGTCGGTGGTGGCGGATACTACCGTGGAAACAGCCGCGGATACTACCCCGGGAACAGCGGATACTCCCGTGGAATCGGCGGCGGATACCAGGGCGGTCGCCGCATTGGATACAGCCATGGACAGAGGAGCTACGTCGGCTAGTCTCCCGACCGCTGCCGACCCGACCTACCGACCTACCGAGCTCTGACCGCCCCGCTGGTATCCGGCGGTGCGGCAGGGAGGGGTGGCCGCCGTGCCCCTCGCCCTGGAGCGGCACACACGTGAGACTCACCGCAGCTGATATGGATCCCCGGTCTCTGACAACTGATCAGTGCCGAATGGTCGGCGCTTGTTGATGTTAGAGAAGAACTGTGTTGGATGTGACTGTGCTTGGAAATACAAATATACGTCTTATATGCATAAACTATGTTCTATTTCAATCACAACCTAGTGAATGGTTCAACAGCGCTTAGTATGGAGTAGAAACGGTAGCTGTTTTCTCCCTTCGACATCTCGTAAAATAATGTAGATATGAGCCAGATTTGAAACTTTCATGTAACAGTTTGCACATCATTTTGACAAATGTTGAACACAAATGATTTTCAAAAGAGCTGAGATCCGCCATGCTTTAATCTCCGTTACATTTTCTTGGCTAGCGCCATGAAAAGATGTTGGCACCCAGCTGCAAACAAGCGAAGAACAACAACGAAAGAAAAGTTGAACCACCGAGATAGTTCCATGGAATCGCGAGCGAGGCCGTGTTTTGCTCGAGGAGCTATATAAGCCCGCCTGCCGACCCAGTGTCACAGGAGAGAGGCAGTAGCGTCCGAGGAGAGCACTCCGCCCACGTCCCCCGGCATCAACATGCACTTCAAGCTGGTGGTGAGTGGGCCGAGCAGAGGGATCAGAGCACGTGGAAATCAGAGGTCATTGTCCTACAGAAAATAGCATGAGTCATGATATTGCGCTTTGTTGAATAGTGTCTTCATAGTTATTTGACTTCAAACAAAACGTATGCTCGGTTCCTGAAGCAAACCCATGTATCTCCAAAAGACATTTAATTGTAAACCCTGTTTGATTAAAAAATATTTGTTCATGATGGGCCTGAAAGGGCGCAAAATAGCTAAAAGAACAATCGTCGTCCATCGTGATGTTATATCGCCCCTCTCAGCCTGGCCTCACCGCCGTCCCTCTCCACAGCTGGTGCTTTTAGTGGTTCTGGTCGGGGTGGCCGCCGGCTCCGGAGGATTCTTCGGACGCAGGCGCGGCGGCGGATACTACAGCGGCTTCCAGCACGGAGGCGGCGGATACTACCCCGGAAACAGCCGCGGATACTACCATGGAAACGTCGGCGGATACTACAGCCACTCCGGCGGATTCGCTGGACACGGAGGTGTATACCACCGTTGAAAGCTGACGCCCTGCTCACCATAACATCCATCGAAAAAGGCGATCTGTTTGACAGGATTGTTCCAGGTCATAACTACTACGAATCTACTACATAATATAAAATACCGGAAAGCTACGAACGAGTGTTCCTACCTAAGTACTACGAATACGAAATAATCCACAGACACGAAATAATCCACAGACTGCTTGTTCTAGGAACTTAGTCATTACGCTTGCACACTGCAGTTACTAATTGTGGCAGCGGATTAGCCGACAGAAGCAGGAGCGTTTTTAGCACACATCCACTGGAGGACGCTATCGTTCCTTTGTTAGCTTCGTGCAGATGTGTCCGAGTACCGTTAGCCCGATCAATGACATCTGGACAGAAAGTCAAAGTGCAGATGTGTGCGAACACCGTTCGCCCAATCAACGACATTTGGACAGAGTGAGACGTTAACGGCTGTTTATAACACGAATGTCCCGTGCGTCTGTGACCTCGAGGACAATTCACCAAAAATTTGTCACTATTCATTCTGCTCGTAACGGCCCAAGCTCTTTTCTTTACCTCTTCAAACAGGCTCAAGGGCGTTACTTCGTTTAAGCACGATAGTCGGAGCAAGGCGCCAGAGTAAGGACTAACGTGAACAATTGTCACGCATTTGTTTAGGTAAGCCGCATGACACAAAACCATCGAACGATAAAAGGTGCATAACCAGCGAGGTTTACATACTTTTACGCAACCAGCATGCGGGACTGAAGGACCATGAACAAGAGTCCTGTGATGACACCCATTATGAGTCCATAAAGCCGATCGACTCAATAGCCATTATAGGTCAGCATTCATATGGATAACTACATTTGAACGAACAACCACAATCACTCTGCTCAAATGATGGAACAGGGGAGCGAAGACAGAGTAAAAACATTAGCGACTGAGGGTACTCGGAGTGTCTTCTCAGGCAGTATCGTTACCTTCACCGCCATATTTGCTAACGATAGGAAATGTAATCGACCCAATAACTATTTTGGGACATAAACTGCAAAAGTACGAAAAAATACATCGCGGATTACAATATGCACGACCTTATTTTGCGATTGGTTATATTTCTGCAAAGTTATCGCTTTAACAATGAGGTTGCATTGCAAACAAACGAAGAAAAAACAAAGCGAAAACTTTACACCTCTTGCAAGCGCCGAGATGACGGCGAGGAAGGTCATCTCGGCCGGCACAGTCCCCGCAAATAAGCCGGCACAGTACCGTATAAAAGCCGGCACAGTCCCCACAAATAAGCCGGCACAGTAGCGTATAAAAGCCGCCCGGGAGCCGGGGATCGGCAGAGATCAGGCAGCAGTCGAGCGGACCACTCACAACACTGACAACATGAACTTCAAACTGGTGGTGAGTGACCGGCGAGCAGGAAGCTCAGGTGGGCCAGCACCTGGCTTATCAACCACCTGCTCCGAAATACTATCTACAGCTTCCAATAAATTTGTGTTAGAAACAAAAAGGAATAGACTGAAATGCATTCTGAACCGATACCATACCGTTGTAGTTCAGTGTTTTGAGATGAAGCATTCATAAATACTGGCTCAGCTTGAAATGTTATGTTAAGGTTTAATGCTTATTTCAGCAGAGTGCGCATTCAATCTACTCGAAAGCTTGAGCAGAGCCTTTGCGCGTTCAAATCGCAGTCTCGCTCCTCTATTGGAGTATAGTCGACTACAGAATGATGTTCCACTCCTCAGAAGCTATCAGTTGACCGCAGCACTAAGTTGTGCCGTTTATCACGCACTTAAGCGTGTCGATTGTGAGCATTGGGACAAAGCTATAATTTGTGAACTCAGTCCGTGTGATGCGGCACAGCCTACCACTCCAGGCAAATAATTGCCTATGAAAAGTGGAACATCATTCTGTAATCGACTATACATGGCATATGTTTCGCTCCCAACACTCAGCGCTTCAAGCTACGATTTGGGAACGAAAAATATGTCATGTATTCCCATGGGAGGAGCGTGAAGCAATTTGCACGCAAAAAAAAAAAAAACTGTGTTTCATCCTTAAGACAGAGTCCTCGGGTTCTGGCGGCCTCAGAAGGCTCAAACAACAATCAAGTCATGACTACTGAACCAAGAATTTGTAACCATATCTACAGCCACCTTACACCCCCTCTCAACCCGACCTCTCCGCCGTCCCCGTCCACAGCTGGTACTTGGTTGGTCACTATTACACCCCCTCACTGACCCCACCGCCGTCCCCGTCCACAGCTCGTGCTGCTGGTGGTCACTATTACATCCCCTCACTGACCCCACCGCCGTCCCCGTCCACAGCTGGTGCTGCTGGTGGTCACTATTACATCCCCTCACTGACCCCACCGCCGTCCCCGTCCACAGCTGGTGCTGCTGGTGGTCACTATTACATCCCCTCACTGACCCCACCGCCGGCCCCGTCCACAGCTGGTACTGCTGGTGGCTCTGGTCGGAGTCGCCGTCGGATCCGGCTCGTACTACGGAGGCAGAAGATCCTTCAGCCGTTTCCCGAGCAGACGTGGCGGTGGATACTACCGCGGAAACAGCGGCGGCGGATACTATTCTGGGAACAGCGGATACTACCACGGAAACAGAGGCGGTGGTGGCGGATACTACCGCGGCAACCGCGGCGGCGGCGGATACTACCGCGGAAACCGTGGCGGTAGCAGTTTCTACGGCTAACACAGCGGTGATGGATATGATTTCGGACGCAGAGTCTACGGATAGAACCTTTGTCGTTACTACGGACGCCCTCGTGGACAGGGTCCTTGCTACAGATACGCCCATACTGGGTCCCGTGGAACCATTATGTATGACTGATCAAACGTATTGCTGTACCGTTCATACCCATCGGTGTGTAATATAATACAAGCTTTGGGAATATTTCTTTAACGAGCTGCTTGCTTGACAAAGGTACGCTCGGAACTGCTAATGGTTGCAGGGTATTATTAGATAGAATGGATATTTTTTCGCTCAAAAACCATCCGCGATTCAGCCATAGCCTGTAGCCTTTTGCCGACATCTTGCAGGTAGGTCAGAGCACCGTTATCCCAGCCTATTCTTTACAGCTGGATGTCTGTGGTTCAAACGATGACATATTCTACCTAACCAAGATAAACTGAAACTGGAGAGCTGAAAAGAAACTGGAGTCGACTCATGTAATTCCAAGGTTAATTCATTAATCAAAGTGCTTTGCTTATCAAAGTGCAAGTGTTCTTCTGAAAACATTTTATTGGTTAGCGCACTGTGTATGTCAAAATGCAGTGGTAAGTTTAATTGTTCGTAGCCATTATAAAGGGGAATATAAAGGATGCCCTCTATAAAAGAAAGCCAGAAAGGTTATTTGTGAAAGGTACGGGGTGACCTTTCACAACTAGAATAACTTCTCTGTTTGACGGTATCTCAAGAATCACATATTTACGATTATGCTGATCAAACCGAACCTGCAAAATACCAGATTCCCTCATCATGGTCTGAGGAATGGCTGATATGATCACTCTCACGGCCGGCGCCGCTCAGAGTTAATCAGCAGTCGCTCAGCGGTTTGGCGGCGGCTGGGCGGCGACCGCCGTCGGCTCACCTGGGTGGTTTTTCCGGAGCCGGTGTCGCCCACCAGCAGCGTGACCTGGTTGTGGCCGACCGTGCGCAGGATGTCGTCTTTGAGCGGCCAGATGGGCAGCTGCTGGCCGGCCCGGCTCAGGTCGCCGGTGCCGCGCGCTCCCGGCACCTGGGGGATGCCGCTGTTCAGTCGGCCCGTCGCCCGGTTCACATCCCGAACTGGAGGCACAGCGAGGCAGGCGGAATCACAGCAGAGGTCACGGCGCAGAGGTCACGGCGCAGAGGTCACGACGTACTGCGCAGCGGTCGTAGCGCACAGTTCGTGGCCCAATTAAGGCCATGGCGCAGAGGACACAGGGCAGACTAGGTCCTATCACGGATATCACGGCATAAATATGATATTGCCAATGCGGCACAAACGACAAGCTAAGCCCATGATCGCCCCAGCGTCGGAAGAAAGGGCACCAGACGGCAGCGCTGGTCGTGCGCTGGGGCTTTCTTTCGTTGGGTTAGCGGATGTCTGGCTTAGACTCAGCATCAATTATTATAGAGGCGATGATTTCACTCGCTGGATTTTGTCTACCACAATGCACGATCCATTTGCGGCGTAATTGAAAAAGGTGATGTCACGATTTAAGGCCAGAGCCTCCCTGGCCCCAGCGCCACCTGCTATTGGGCTGGTTGGGTCCCTCTGCGACCCAGGCGCCCTTTAACCCGCGCCCGGCTGGGGGTCCTGGATTTCCACGCCCTGCTGGGGGGGGGGGGTGTTCAAACACCCCCCCTTGTAACTCGGCTCCTGGGCCACGTAGCGATACGCGGAAGGCGCGTTCGAAAGAGCGTCAAAAATAATGACGAAATCACTTCGGTCAATTTTTTGGTCAGGTCAAAGGTCAAGTCACCAGAGGTCATTGAAGGCAAAAATTCGCCGATTTCCAGGTCGAATGTCGAAAATTTCCAAGAAGCTAACGCATAACTCGAGAACCAATAGAGCTACAGCGCCGCGGAAAAGCGCATTCGATAGCCCTTTTAACGCCCTTTCTGAGTAATTCTCTCAGATTTGACCTAACGTCAACGGTTTTGCCTGCAGGGGGCAAAAACTGCAAAAATAGCCGATTTTTTCGGAAACAGTTTTTCTGCAATAACTTTTGACCCAAGCCTTGTACGAGCTTACTTTTACCGGCATTGTGTTCCTCTCGTCAAGACGCATCGAATGAACTATAAGTTGACCTTGAAAGGTCAACTTGAAAATTTGACCTCAGGTCAAGGTCATGACCTGACCGAAAAGGGTCATGTTGCATATCAGTCGATCCGTATCGTCGAGCTGAACACATCTAAGGCGTTTTCATCGCTCTAGCATGCCTCTATCAAAAGTTATTTGCGAAAAACTGTTAGATACCATTCGTGACCTAAGATGACCTCAGGGCATAAACAAGGGTCACAGACACCATTTTCATGTTCATTGTGTTTAAAACACTTGTAATTCGGTGTTTAGGAGTGTTTATAATGTCTTTTGTCCAAAACAGACGCTTTTCAATTTTCTCCCATTGACTTATAATGGGGAGGTCGCAAAATTGACCTGACCTTAGGTCATCGATATCAAAATTCTGAGATATACATTTTGTACATGCTATTACTCTTAGCAATCGCTGAAAGTTTCAAAGCGATCGGTCACTCGGTGTAGCTATGACAGACATTGAAACTTTTTATGAGGTGAGGTCACTTCAAGTGACCTGGTGACCTGACCTTGAATGACCTTGGTCTGAAATTTTCACAACATGTGTAGAATTGATGTATGATAAGGTGTACCAAAAACGATATTCGCGAAAAACCACAAGGGGGGGTGTTCAAACACCCCCCCCCCCCCCAGCAGGGCGCGGGTTAACACCAGTCTCCCGCGGCTCCTCTAATCGACCACAGCGCCCCCTACCACCCACCCGCCAGCTCTGGCTCCTCTCTCGACACCCCAGCGCTCCTTGGTTCCCTCTCTACCCCTCGACACCAGCGCCATCTGCCACCCAGCTGCGGCAAATTTCCTGCACCAGCTACCATCTACATCTAGCTATTCTCCACGGCTGGGGCGGGCGCCATCTACCCCGGGCACAGACAGCCCTGCACGACCGGAACGCCACCTTAAGTACGGAACCAGAATAGTTATCTCCCCGGTGCTGCCGGCGCGCCCTCGCCCCAGGTACAGGTACAGGTTCTTATCTTGTGCTACCAGCCGCACTATTCGCCCTATCATCCTTTCCCTACCGCGGCAGTCAGCCGGCTCGATCAAAGGCCGTAGCTCAGCCCTCCCCATCGTAGCACCTCTCCCTAGCCTACCATCCATCCCAGTCCCCACCCTTGCATCCTTTCCTCCCCTATCATCCCTCCCCACCCTATCCCCCCTTCCGCCAGGCTGCAGCACCGTCGTTACCGCTCGGTCGGAATCAGATACTCAGTCCTCACCCCTATAATCCCTCCCAGTCCTACTATCCCTCCCCAACCGTCGGGCTGGAGCAGCCGGTGCCTACCCTACCACCCCTCCCCTACCGTCGGGCTGGAGCAGCCGGTCCCGCTCGGTCGGCGGCAGCAGCTCCTGTCGCTCCCGGTTGGTGACCGGGAACTTTGAGAGTAGCGAGCTGACGTGGTGCCGAGACATGCGCGCCAGCGCAAACACCGCGTCCGCCTGAACGATCGTCGAGCCATGCTTCTTGTACACCGTCAGAAAACGGTTGGCCGCCTTCCTGAAAACAACGCAGGGCTTGAGGTCAGCCTTTTTCAACATATGTGTAACTAATTGGAAAACTTGGACAGTTTGTGGAAATATGGGATACTACACAGATGCAACTGAACTAGCCACTGTGATGAATGGGTGAATTGAAGTTCGGATGCCCTGTTTCAAATGTTTTGAAAAGGTTTGAATGATCATCTGTGACATCGTCCGGGAAAACCGCAATGAACGAGGAGTTTATAATACACTTACCCTCGGCTCTTCGACTTCAGCCCAATGGAGTCCGCCAATTTGTGGATGAAAGCTCGCTCAGTAGATGTCAGAGAAGATGGAAATTCTATTTCTGGAAAAATATATAAAAACCATCAAGCTGCGGCAAAATTATATGGCAATGAACAGCGTTAACTCATTTTCATGCCCGTAATGTTCACAATAAGAAAAAACGGACTTTGTCAACTCACTCAAACCACTACGAAATTTGCCCCTAATTTCCGTTCACACTGACGACTCCCTGCACTGGATGTTAGCAGCCGTCATGGCTGTTTGTATCTCTGTCCATCTCCCAGTTACCTGCTTGCTCCTCCTGGAGTCGGAAGTTCTGCAGCGCCAGCGTCACGGCGATACGCAGCTCCTCGCCCACATTGGCCGGCTGCGTCTTCTTGCGCGGCATCTGGTGTTAGAACGGTGTAGCATCAGTGAACGATATTGGCACTGCCGGTCACATCTGTATTTAGAACACCGTGCCAGCCATTATCACAATTTGTTGATGATGCAAGGCCAGTGCATGCACTAAAATCTGGTTACAGCACTTATATAAACTATGATATTGATAAAGCCACCATTCATCAGATAAGGATGACAATACATACAAGTGAACAAATCAACGTGCTGTGAGCCTCATTATATCAATTATGGAACCATGGCCAGGTAAGCAGCCTCAGAAAATGATACAAGAGGAATGTATTGCTGAAGCTGAGGTTCAAACAGCTTTTCAAGGACATTTTTTCCATTCCATGTTTTTCATGTCCTGAATAAAACAAATGTACTTTTTAGTGCAGCATATGTCATTATAATCCATTGAGGAGATGTCATTGTCACCTGAGGTAACCTGACCCAACCTAATCTGAATAACCCAGCCTGCCCTTCTGCCACAGGTAGGTGTTAGGTAGACATGGGGCTAGTTAAGACTAGGTTAGGTTAGATTGGATTAGGCTGGATTAGGTCAGATCAGATTATGTTGGCACTGGGTCAGGTAATCTCACTTCAATGATTTGTACTTATATTTTGATTTGCTGCACTAATGAGCATTATTTGTAAATTAAAGACATGGACAAACTGAAACAGCATTGTTCTTACCACAGGATAAATGAATGGAGGGTACAGGTTCCTGGGAGCAGGGTTGAAGGTATAGTGGGCATAGGATAAGGCATCCCCACTACACTGAGGCTGCTGCATTGTTGACACTGAAAGTACAGAATACATGGTCATATGTATTAAACACAAACAAATGTATTTAACACTAAGCAGACAAATTCAAAACATCATGGCAATATCAAACAGGCACCCAACTTCTCAATTGCCACATTGATAAGACATTGTGATGCAAATATTTTGGTGACAAAACCTTTTATCCCACCCTAAGAACTGCAGGAATTCACAAAACAAGCTCATGAAAGGAGAGAACACACTATTTATGCCTCAAAAAGTGACACAAGACCTGAATACTTATAGTATTTTTGCACTAAATCATAAAACACTAGTAACTGCACTGGCACCACTGACAAACTTGGTACATCCTACTTTGCAATTGTTGTGTTAAGTTTTGAGAAATTACATATTTACATTGGCTGTTTTGAGGGTTGGTTAGTGTTTGGTAGTTCAGGTTAGATTAAAAAGTCATCAGAATGTTATCATACATGACACATGCAATTGAATTTGCAATTTGGTCATGTTTGCCATCTGTCTAGGTTCAGATGTTAGTTAATTCAATTAACTAAGATGAAGACACCAGGTTATGTCAGCACACCAACGACGCGGAAAGCGCCCATTTTACCTGGATTAGTTGCATGGTAGGTGATATATTTTTTGAATATGGAAAAAAATAGAGTATTCCATTCTGACGAGTAAAGCCAAATTCATAAAGCAGTTATTTTTTAATTATATGTACCAGAAATAACATACTAACCATAGTTTAAAACTTAGTCTAAAGTTAGTTGAAAAGCGTATAGTTGATACTAAGATGGAAGGAATGAATGGAAGGCAGAAATGGCGCAGCTGTTTCACTCTTAAAATGTTTTCGCAAGCAGGATTTACTTGATGCTAGCGACATCTATGAATGTGATCGGGGATGCTGATTGGCCGATCGAGTCCGTGAGCAGTATCACTAATTAACGCTAGTACAGGGTTGAGGCAATGTGCGCATGCGCAGGAACTTGTGCTCTCATGGAGGGTCTTTTGGTACCTCGGGCAGCGCCCAATGCTTTTTGGACCTGTTATGGCCTCCGCATCGAAAAACGCTAGATAGAAAGGTTGTAGAGGAAGCTTGAGGCTACCTTTCCCCACAATAATATTGGCACTTTGTCTCTTAGCTTACGTATGGGGCTCGCCTGAAAAAGGTCGATTTAACATGGAAACCCTATGGGGTAGTAGTTTTTGAGCGCCCATTTGGCCTAATGCTACCAACTGTTACTGGCTACCCCTGTCTCAGACCATGAAAAAGGTAACAAGCACAATCAGGTTGATGCGTTTCGTCACATTGTTTTTATCAAAATCCCTTTCCAACAAAGAAACAATACAAAGTGCAAACACAACATTGGTACTGGGTAGGTACAGCCCTCAGCAGACTGCGTGGTAGGTATTCTTTTTTCGACAAAACCGATAATAGCTCAAAGGCTATGTTATCAGTCGGTCGGAACTCACTGTAAATAGATGCGCCATGCTCCACTCCTTCGAATGGGTCCATCACTAAACAAAGTATCGGCCTTGTGTGGCAGCAAAATGCAAAAGTTTGTTTTGGGGGCAAATATAAACTTTTGGGTTTTGTTGCCAAACTTGACGGAAAATGAACACAATGATAACGCCAATCTAAGGTGCGGAGTCTCGCGCGTCTTGCTGTTACGATTTTTGAGTGACCGATAGCATAGTATTCGCGCTATTCTTGGATTTGTTGAAAAAAAGAATACCTACCACGCAGTTTGCAGAGGGCTGTACATTTTGTAATGCATGTATAATGATGTTTGTTTTTCTCTTTTCGAAAGCGTGTTGACTGTTGATAGTCTACCTATGTGATGAAACACGTCCACCTGGTTTGCCGAGATACCCAAGATTGAGATTAATTTACTAATAGTGATAACCATCTCAATATATATAAAAATGGCATAGCCATAGCCTTCAACTATGAGTCTGATGTGCTAAAGACGATTTTCACCCCTCACATTGACATACATGGAATATTAGATAAGTTTCTGAAGGTTCACTATTAGCGAGGGCAACCATACCTTTGTTCAGGAACGAATGGAATCAATAACAAGTTGCCTATCTTCAAAAGAAATACACTTTCAGATCACATTTCGATAATATTCGAAACCGAAAATTACGGAAAGCTGGCCCGGGGAGAAAACAATACACGACACAAACAACGAAAACCGGGTGCGCCAGAAACGCCTCACATGCAATTCTTTCAAGGACAGGGAAAACAGTGACTCTAATCTACAGCAATAATCTTGTCAAAACCAAGATTAGTGAAAAAGCAAAAGACAGCCAAAGTCGACACAGCTATTGCAAAAACCATTCAGCAAGCAAAATAACCATCCCGCCATCATCCATCAATAACGCCATCATCCAAAAAAACCTATCGCAGGGATCCCCGGACCGCTGAAAAGTGGTCGGTCCCAGGGAAATAAATACACAATGCGCATTCACTGGCGGTCGCAGCCGCTAGCAAAAGGGGGGGGGGGCCAAACTCACACTCGCGGGACATAACATTTATCCGTCACCGGAGGGGGGGGGGGTGATCGGCTAATTTCTACGTCCACGAGGCGCCGCACAGTTGGCAATAATTATGCTTCATCCATGTCATTCTTGCGTGGAATCACCAGTTCATGAAATCACCAGTTCCATTTCCCGTCCCACGGCGTTTCCACCGGTCGGGCCACTGCACCATGGCGATGGATCGGTGTAGCATATACTGGAAGGTCGGGCACGCGGATTTATGACCTTACCACTATAAAACAATTCGGAAAAGTACAGATACCTACCTCTTGCTTTGAACAAGCATGTGAAACTCATAGAGCATTTTCAGACTATGACATTTACCCATATAGTTGTGTGACGGCGGGAGAGAGTAGGTACACCGACCTCTGGAGACCAAAGGTTCCTGGCTTTCAAAATTGGCATCTGAGGGCCGCGCGCGATTCCTGCGGGCTTCGTAACGGCTCTATTGGGGCTCACTCAACCTGCCTAGTCCTCATGCTGAAAAGACTGGCCCTGAGCCCTGAGGATTTCATCAGTCTCTGCCAGCCCCAAGACCCACAACGGCTCATGGGGTCCCGATGTCGAAATATGAGGGAATCTACGCGGGACCATCAGGACGTAAAGTGATCTCGATCAGGACCAACGTAAGGCTGTACAGGAGTCTGCGTAAGCCCTCTGATCTTCAGAAGCCCACCCATGTATGTTTTCACTTAGAGGCCAGATTAGGGCCCTCAGAGACCAGTACAGGGCCTGCAAACTGCAAAGGCCAGTAGTTGAGACCACCAGAGACCGAGTTGGGCTCTCAGAGGCTAATGTGGGTCCTTACTCATTACAGGCCAACATGGGGCCCTCAGATGTCAGCGTGGGGCTCTAAAAGACCGGCATGAGCCGTCATTGGACCCCAGAGGCCAGCAGAGGGCCCTCAAAGGCCAAGAGTGGCCCTCCTCAGAGGCCAATGCAGGCCCTTAGAGGCCGGCATTGGGTCTTTAGCAGCCAGTGCGGGGCCCTCATTGGCACCTAAAAGTTCGTCTTAGGACACCAGAGACAGAAATAAGGCCACCAGAGACCGGTGTGAGACGCTCAGACGCCGGTTGGGGCCCCTGAGGCCGGTTAGGGGCCCTCATAGGCCAGATGTGGGGCTTAAGAGGTCGATGTGGGCTCTTAGCGGCCAACGTGGGCGCTTGACCGCCACTGAAGTTCCCTCAGAGGTCAGTGTAGGACGCTCAAAGACCGGTGTGGGAGCTATATTAACCTTCGCCCCAGTGGGGGGGGGGGGGCATATGTTACCACCCTGTCGCGTTTTTTGCGTGTGAATAAAAAACCGCGGCGCGTAGCGCCGCACCGCTTGGGGTAGCTTTTGGTACATCGATTTTGGACAATGTGTGAAATTTTTGACCCCAGGTCATGTCAGGTCAGGTCACCAGGTCAAGTTAACTGACCAAGCCTAAAAAAAAGTTTGCAATCATGTCCAGCCTGCAGTGTTTGTCAGAAAGGTTTCAAACTTGGTGGATTGCATGCTGTTATGGGCGCCTACAATTTGTATATCTCGGATTTTTTATATCCGTGACCTAAGGTCAGGTCAGTGGCGAAACCTTTCCATTACAAGTCAATGGAGAAAAATGAAAATGCCTCTAGATCCGTGTGTACGCATCGGAACAGTCCAAATATTTCAGAATCACAATGATGATTTAGTCCACTCGTGATGACCAAGGTGTCATTTTTGCTGATAGCCTCTAGACAGGTCATCCGAGGTCACTTGAGGCTACAAACAGTTTTTTTGCCAATAACTCGCGATTGGAAAGAGATAGAACGCTGGGGTTGGTCTCATTGTGTTTGCCTTGTTGAGACGCATCGACTGATATGCAACATGACCTTTTCCGGTAAGGTCATGACCTTGACCTGAGGTCAAATTTTCAACTTGACCTTTCAAGGTCAAATTATAGTTCATTCGACGCGTCTCGGCGAGAGGAACACGATTCTGGCAATAGAAATGTCGTGGCTTTTTGTAGTCGAAAGTTATTGTCGAAAAACACTTTTCGTAAAAACAGCTATTTTTGGACTTTTTGCCCTCTGGAGGCCAAACCGTTGACCTGAGGGCAATATTGATAATGACCTTTTCAAAAGAAGAGTTCAAAAGCTATCGATTGCTCTTTCCTGCGTTATTCTAGCTACCATAGTTCCTGAGATAGCGGCATGTTTTCTGAAAAATATAATGACAATTGGCAAATTTTGACCTTTGATGACCTCTGGTGACCCCAATATTGCTCTAAGGTGAAAAATGACTGAAATACTTTCAAACGTACGCATTGAGAGCTATCGACTGCTTTTTACCGCGTCTTTCTAGCCCTCTTAGTTTTTGAGTTAGAGGTGGGTGGTAACATATGCCCCCCCTCACTAGGGCGAAGTTGGCTGAGACCGCCACTGGGGCGCGGGTTAATAGCTTGGAGTGGGTTTTTTTAGCCTCGTGACGATCGAATAAGGGCCAGGGCCCCATACACCTATGGAGGCCCATCGGTTGTTTGAGGGGGGGAGGGCAAATGATATGATGGCCCCCTTTATTGGCCTTTGGGGGGCATGGCCCTGATGCCCCCCCCCCCCCACGCGACCGCCACTGTGTACACATTACACACAGGCCTTTGAGATTGCATACTATGCAGCTCATGCAAACTCTATGCAGGCCCCGGAGGTCCCACGCTAATCCTTAAGAAACCAAGCCGGCATACGGCGTCACCACCGGGCTTCTGAGGTGCACAGCACCAACCCATGAGGTCTTACTTTAGTGTCGTAGAGCCACGCTCATTTGGCAGGGGCCAGGGCCCACCCGCCACTGCCGAAGAGGGTCTCATGCCAGCCATTGCTGGGCCTACGAGAGCCTCAAGTAAACTCACGCTGATATTCCATATCAGATCCGGCCTTACTCGTGAGCCGGTGCCAGCGACGCTGACCGCCAAATTGACAGAATGCGAAGCTGAGCCCACTCATGAGTAAAATTTACGTCCTTTGATGGCGCAAGAAAGAAAATGAAACATAGGTACAAAAAGCTTTCTAGGACTTTTGTTCGATCTGAAAGGTGGGGCCAAAAGATAGCATGGCCCCACCTTTCAGCACCAAAGGGGGGGGGGGGCATGGCCCCCGTGCCCCCCCCCCCCTGGGACCGCCTATGTGCGCATTCCGCTTTGTGCAATATTGCTGCAGCCCGACGCAGGTTCAGTTTTTTGCGCGGGCTGCGGGAAGTGACGATTATCCCGTCCGTTCGCCAGACCGAATTCAGAGTCCCACACCCCACACGGAGCCAGAGGGAGGATCCGGCGCCGCCGACACCGTCCATAAGCCCGGTATCAGCCTGGAAAGTGGAATGCTGGCAAAAGACCGCGCTTAGGGAAAGAGGCGCTTGCACCTCTTCCCGCACGACATCGACCGCTAAAGATTATTGTCGAAAAATTGTCAGTTATACGCTAGCTTCTACCTAGCTACTTACGTTTGAAAGTTCGAACGAAAAGATCGCCACAAATATTGACCGTTCAATGACTGAACTTGTATGACGGCGGCGACAGAGCGAGAGACGCGCCCCTGCGGCCGGGCAGCACACACCCTCAATACCCATTCATTCCGTCGTGGTGACCTCTCAGCACGCGCCATGGCCCCGCTCGGCCCGCCCCGCCGAGCCAACGGTGCTCCTCCTTCAGCGTGTCTGGCGCCGCCTCTGTTTTCCAGGTGCGGAGACTCGCCCCACTGAACCACCCTAGACTTCAGCAGGGGCACCGACAGAGCAGGGGCTTACACAGGGATGAGTCACAGACTGTCACACACCACAAATATAACCTTTAAAGGATTTAACATTATTCACCTATATAGTTGTGACACCGAAGACTGCGAGTCCACCGGGAGGAGACAAGAGTACAAATTCGATCCTGTGCAGACCGCTGCCGGCCGGTGCGGCGGCGGCTGGGCGGCGCGCCCGGCCGCCAGTGCAGGTGTGAGTGCCGCTCCCGCAGCACGTAACGTGGTATGTGAGCTGCCCGCCGCCGGATCGCCAGTCTCGCGTCGCCAGATAAGCCAACGTCGACGGACCGACTCCCGTCCGACCTCCCCAGGTCAGTACCGACGCTGTGACCCGCGCCGCGAACTCGTCGGTGGCGGCGGAGGGGGCAGCTGCGTCGAAGCGCGCCGACGGCGGCCGGCGCTCATTCCTTATGCAGACGGCGGCGGGAGGGAGGGGGCCCCGGTCGGCCCAATAAGGTGCCCGTAGGCTGACGGCCAGACAGTCGCGCGGTCGCTGGTCAAACTGTCTGGCCCATACTGAGTAGCCGGGGGCTGAAAACGGCTGCACCCGGGTGATGAAAAGCAGCCCTTGTGTTTGCCGGGCAACGTTAGTGAGCAAACAGTAAAAGGAACAATTCCCACATGCAGCACACGTGCTTAGCTGCATTATATCACCCGACCCTGATTCACCTCCCCCAGCCCCTCCGAGACGTAATCCCGTGTCCTGTTAGTTCTGACCAATAGTGGTATGCAGCTCGCCTTAGCGCAAAACTGCGGAAAGGATCTCAAACTGCGGTAAATCTGGGAAGTGCCGTACTCCCCACGTACAGCCCTGCGGTCGGGTCAGGTCACTTCTTACTGCCTCACCTTCCACGACCATGTCTGGCCACTTTACCCTCCCGTTACCGCTGCTGGGACAGGGTAGGTCACCGCCCTCTCCTCCCCCCAATGCTGGGTCAGGCCACCGCCCTCACACATAACTGTGCAGCAGATTGCGGTCTCCGTCTGTCCACACTAACGAACGGCCTGTCGCCCGCGCCTCGCTCCAAGCCGGATCCGTTTACAGGTCGCACACCGTACGGCGTACGCGTGTGCGCTTTATCGCCCGAGTGTGCGTGTCATTGTCCGCCTGTGCGCGCTCCTACGGACGGCATCGTGCCCGAGCATACCACGCCGTACCACCCTTCAGACCATCGGCCCTTATCAGCGGGGGTCTGGCGCCGAACGCCGTCCCAGGGTTACCTCAGGGACGCGCACTGTCGCCCCCATGGTTCGTGCGCGGCTCCCGTGTCGCACTGCGCGGCCGACAGCCCCGGCGAGTGCGACCCGTCCGGACCGGTTATGTGTCACGACAGACGGGAGCACACACTGGTGCTCTGGGCTCCATTCACGACAGACGGAGCACATACATAGGTGGTCCGAGCTCAATGACCTGGGACCGTCCCCAGCTCGCCTCTGATCGCCTTTCTTTTGTTCCGCGTGTCACGTGTGTCGCATTATCACATCTACGATCAAAATCATGTAATACGCTGGTGCATATTCCGAAGAACGCGTCTTTTGCTGATCCACGATACAGCGTACTGTATCTGGCGAGCACACCTGTGAAGATCCGGCACTGGTCGGAAATCCTGCACACTACTTAGTGCAGATTTACCCATCATAAAGTACCTACTGAGAAGTCGAGAAACTGACGAAACCGGAACGATTGTTCGATTTTACGAGTATGTCCTGTAAATCGAACGGATTCGGCTGCCATTTTCCTCTGGTGGGCAATGGCGTCATGAGCTATAGCGGCATTGAGTCAACAGCAATCGTTTCATACGGCATCGACGGCGACAGGGTTTACCCCTGAGCCCCCTGATCGTACCTGCCAATGTGAGAAGCAAACATGTGCTAAATAGTCTGCAAATCCTATTCCACAAGGGACACAACACGGGTTCGCTTAGAACGGATTCATGTATTCATTCATGAGGTGTTCTGAGATTCATTCTCGAATCTCGTGCCTGAGACGGCTACAAAGAGACCGTAGGGAGTCGGAGGTGATCCCCCGGAGATACCGACGCGTCCCGTCCCCATTCCCGTCGGTCGCTGTCGGCTGTGACCGATGACGCTAGCTGGGGGCGGGGTGCTGTTGGCCCAGGTCGCGGACAGGCGCCGATAAGCCGCCGGCCACGTGTGCCGTCACGTCGTCACGGCGAGTACCGTCACGCCGTCACGGCGGAGGGATGTGGGCGCTGCGGCATGGAGGACCCCGAGGGTGAAGCGGGGGACGGCAGGGGAAGGGACGGGCTCCGAGGGTGAGATGGGGGACGCGACGGGCTCTGAGGGTGAGGAGGGGGACACGACGGGCTCTGAGGGTGAGGAGGGGGACGCGACGGGCTCTGAGGGTGAGGAGGGGGACACGACGGGCTCTGAGGGTGAGGAGGGGGACACGACGGGCTCTGAGGGTGAGGAGGGGGACACGACGGGCTCTGAGGGTGAGGAGGGGGACACGACGGGCTCTGAGGGTGAGGAGGGGGACGCGACGGGCTCTGAGGGTGAGGAGGGGGACACGACGGGCTCTGAGGGTGATGAGGGGGACACGACGGGCTCTGAGGGTGATGAGGGGGACACGACGGGCTCTGAGGGTGAGGAGGGGGACACGACGGGCTCTAAGGGTGAGGAGGGGACGGGATCGGAAGAAAGCCAGGCATACAAGTATGATACGATTTTGGTGAATGACCTGAGTCGCCCACAACTCGCGTACTTTGCCTTCTGTTTGCTATCGACTGGCATTGTTCGCAGCCACGCTGTTGCCGTCCCGTCCAGGCTATCGCTGGGGTGAATACACCCAACACAGGGTGACGTCACCCGGTAGGAAAAGGAAGTCCGTGCGGGGCGGACCCGCATTGTTCCACCGTCCATTGTTTGCCACCTCCGACGTGCCGGGCTCATATCGGCACGTATCTTAGGTTGGAGGGGTGCATGGCAAACCTGACCGAATGTCAGCATCACTTCAACCCAGTAGCGGCGGAACACCTTCAATTAAGGGGGGCACCGCCAACTTTTGGTCTCATTCTTTCCATGCAAAGCCCATGGGACTAATGTTAAAATGCCAAAATCAAAGGGAGGCACGGTGCCCCGGTGCCCTCCCCGTTCCGCCGCCTATGCTTCAACCGATGGTTTGGTTGATGGCAAGCGGCCAAACAATACAGAAATTGAAAGCAAAAGGCAGGCCATAGAAAAGGCTTTGAGTAACTGCAGATTCGCTGCTACTTTTAATAGACGCCGTCAGTATGGATTACAGATTCCTGAGTAAAACTGTTGAGTTTGGTCTGCTGTCGGTAACATCAAATCAGCGTGGTTCGGCATTGTTCTGCCGTCTGCTGATGTCAGCCCAAGAGGGAGCGGAGTCGGAACCATTTGCATGCTTATCATATAGCAGACTGCTGACGGATCGCGAATCGCGCGCAAGACGACAGTCTCCGAAGGCAGACGGTTCCAAGCTCGGAAAGCCGACAGGCTAAGTCTTAAAAAAGCGGTCTTGCGAGTTCCTAGCAAGCTGGTCAATGGTCATTTATCGCATATCATATCGTGTGAAGTGAACGCCTGGAAACCGCGGTGAAAAACTGGGACATATCTGGAGAGGCTCACTGGTTGGATAAGTGATAGCGTGGTTCCGCGACAGATGTGGATTGGGCCGAAACGGGCCCGACACTGGAAAGTGGAATGGCAACACAATAGACAGCTCATTGCTTAGTCGACAAGCCTAAAATACAGCCGCACGTTCGTGAGCCGTTGCTCCGTCCGAGATGCCCCTGAGACGGCAAACTTTCCGCGCACGGGAGATGAACACTCGCCAGCCGCAGTCTGCACTCTGCACCATGTAACGGGACGTGGCGCGAGAGCCCGCCCCGCCCTGACCGGCACCCACAGCGGCCGACTGCTCACAGTGGCGGCCGGCACTGGTCACGTGACCAATCAGCCGGTGAATGGAGAGGGGCGGCGACTGCTCGCTGGGGCGGGCGGCACTGGTCACGTGACGGACCGGCCGCTGAATGGGGAGGGGCGGCACCGTGACGACACGCCCGAGATCGGCGGCGCTCCGGCCAATTTACGACTGGCCTGATTTGGGGCGACGCGTGCCGGCGGTGACCGCAGCTCGAGGGGTGGCTCGGGTTAAAAAGGCGGGTCTATTAGGACTTATGAGCCGCTTACCCGGAGTGGGTTCACTGGTGGGTGCCAACCAATAGCAGAGTTGAGACTTGAGAATACCTATAGCAAACTAGAAAAGTGCAGAACTAATGCAGAAATAATTCGTTCGTCCTTTCTTTCTTCTCACGCTCACAGTGCTTCAAACAATAACGGGTTTCGGGCTTTCCATCCCAGATCTGAGTGGCGAATACCGGCCCAGAGCTGTCGGCAGAACCCAATCTTCTCAGGGATTAGCTCCGTCGCCGCGGTCCGAGGCGTGCCGCGATACCGCTCCGGTCGGCTCTGCCGCACGGATTACCCGTGAGTCACCGCGGCCGTCGGGGCCCGGCGGGCAGGGCCCGACCGGACTGCGGTGAAGGTGGACGGGGCGCCGTGTCAGTGTTACCACCCGACTCCCCAGCCGCTCCTGTTAGGGCCGAGCCTCTCGGAACCGACCATTCGACCTGACCAGCAGCAGAGGTCGTTACTTCAAAGGGTGTCGGATGGTAGATGGTTCTCCTCTATCACTCGGCCGTCAAACCGGTTGTCCCAGACGGTCTCAGCCGTAAAAGGAGGCCCGCTCGCGACACTTTTTCCGTCTCATTTCATCGCTGCTCGTTTCGGCTCCATTATCCGCTTAGTGCGGCCATTGTGTGCTCAGTTCACAGAACGGCACGGGTGTGCCCCAGTCAGCTGCGCATCCACAGCGTGGGTGACTGAGGGCGGCAGCTGCGCCCGCGCACGGGAGCGGGAAGAACCCGGTCCCCGACGGCTGGTGATATGTAAAGCGTATGAATGTGGATGGTAGAGGCAATGAAATTTAACTTGGGGGATAGCAAAATGCATGAGCAGCGGTCTCCGCGGCTCCCCGCCTGTCTTTCTCATCCGCCAGCGGGCCGGACCAGGGTCGTGGAGCTCCCAGCAGACGTCCCTAGGCCGGGCTGGGGAGCAGGTGGTCCGTTTCCCGACGTTATCTCTCCCTCTGAGGCGCCGGCGCCGGTCACAGCCCGCACCGACCCAAGGACGGTGGACGGGTATCGCGAGCGGCGGCGGCTCAGCCGTAACGCTGAACCAACTCCCACGGGACAAACGAATTCGGACTATGATAGGAGGGATGCAAATCGGTGGTGTATGATGAATCTCAGCCGGTTATCGACAAGGCAATGCGTCCCCAAATAACAGCTGAATACTCGTAGCAAGCTAGCTAGTAGGGGCCACGGCAATCCGTCAATTGCATTGTGTTTGTCAGTGACAGAGCTATTTCCTGGGAGTAGAAATCACTTGTCACCAACAACCGTTATAATTTAAAGGGACCCTCCCACCTTAACATTAGTTTTGAGTTGAGATAGCCAAGTTTGCGGCCAGGCTCAGAAACCACCATTTATCCTGGTCGCAACCCCCGCAGCTTTATGGTGTTCAAGAAATTTCTTCCCTTTACTTGCAGGGTGGGACCAGCGTGGTCCCTATCTCTTAACCATTACGGGAATCTGATGACGTCATCAGGCTTTCGAACGTCCGTTAAATGTTTGACTAAAACGTTTTGTAGCACGCGGTGGTATATGCTGCTTTGCGCGCAACAAATGCCGCACTTTCAAATAAAGTCCCTAGGAACAGCGGAGATCCCAAAAAGTAAACAAAAGTAAAAGTCTAATATCTTGAAAACCGGTGAATATTTTTCGATGAAATTTGGTAGATATTCGTTGTTGCTCTTTCTGAACCGAGCGACATCACTTTCATGCCAATTCATTAACTTTTTTGAAGGTGGGAGGGTCTCTTTAAGGCCTGACACTAAGTGCAGGCTCTAATTCACACTTGTCATTACAATGTTTGACGTCTACAAACCCGTCATGTTACATTCACGCTACCTGGTAGAAACGTAGGTATCCACTAGGCAGCTTTCGTCCATTCCGACTGGTGATGTTTGCTGTCTTTCTGTTACAGATCTGATACGATGAAGTTGCGCCTGGTACTTCTACTGGCTATGGTGCTAGCAGTGATGCTACCGCCAGCGTTGGGAAAGATATCAAAGAAGCCCACCAGCGACAAAAAGAACATCCTACGCAGCTACACCAAGGAGACGTCGACGAAAACCACGGCGGGATCCACTATCAAGTTCGACGACACCGATGAAGACGACGACGACTACTTGGATGATGAAGACTACGACGAAGATTATTACGACGATGACTACGATTATCTAGACGACGACACCGTGTACGATACCGACCATACGGGCTGTCCGACCCCGTTCCTCGCGCGCTGCCAGTGTGGCGACATGAACCACCTCGGCGAGATCAAGTTCGTCGTCAACTGCACCAACACCGGCTTCACGAACGCCTCCATGCTGGGCGCCCTGCCCGACGACACTGAGGTTCTGATATTCACCGGAAACTTCCTGGAGGTGCTGCCCACTAACGTTTTCGGCACGATGGCCAAATTCGAGGACCTTGAATACATCGACATGAGCAACAACGGCATTAAAGAGATCAAGGGGAAATCGTTTCATCGCGTCTCGAATGTAAAAACATTGATTCTGAACCACAACGATCTGTATATCGTGGAAAAGAAGCACCATCCACGAGTGTTCAGCAACTTCGACAACCTGGAGGCCCTCCATTTGACCAACGCATTCACCGAGAAGGTGGACTCGAAGTGGTACATGGTCAGCTTGGAGATAATCTTTCAAGGAAGCAGGCTGGACAAGCTGAAACGGTTACATCTAGAGCAGAACGAAATCTGGAGCCTGCGAGATCCGGACACTTTCTGCAAGCTCCCGTCACTCGAGGGACTCTATCTGGGCAGCAACCGATTGTACGACATCGACATGAATCTGCTCTGTCTCGACAAGCTCACTTACATCGACCTAGAGTATAACTCAATCCGGCGTCTCAACATCAACGCCACGTCGCAGCTGGACCAGATGGTCGTCAAGAACCCCAGCTTCTCCGTCAAGCTGATCGGCAACCCGTTCGTCTGCGACTGCGACATCCGGCCCTTCTACCAGTGGATGCGCACCACGCGGGTGGAGCTGCTGCGCAGCGCCGACTACCGCTGCTTCGAGGGCAGGCCGGCCAGCAACGAGAACCTGCCCATCCTGGAGCTGCAGACGACCGAGTGCGAGCCGGCACCAGCCGCGCGCACCTCCGCCTCCTCCGTGGTGCTCGGCATCCTGGTGTTCGTCATGTGCGTCCTCCTCGTGGTGGTGCTCTACATGCACCGGCATCGGCTCGTGCAGCGCGCCAAGCGCCTCCAGCCGCACATGCAGGTCGCCATTCGCAACCTCAAACGCTCCCGGCAGTACGCCAATATTCAGCACGAGGATGCGCCCGAAGTGGAGGTGTAACGGGACGGGGCAGTGCTGTCTGGCGGACGGTGCTTGGGGTGTGGCCATGTGACGTCGGTGCCTCCGCCGAGCTGCGGCCAAACGCAGCGGTCAGGCTGTGCTGACGAAGAGAAGAAGCACACCATCGTGCGTAAGCCTGTGAGACGGCCAAATGCTTCAGTTCACTATGACGCCAACCCACAGCGTCCTGACGTGGACAAAATCGAGTCACGCTGCTGAGAAAAACTATCTAAGCGGTGGACTATGAGGCGACAGACGTCTCAAGCTACCGACCACGAGCTTTGGCGTGTGTACGTCGCTGACCGGCATGCGACAGTGTCGAGATGTGCGCGCGGCTGAACTGTGTGCTGAAGCCGACGGTCAGATTCCACGAGTCGTGATGTCGTTGTCGAGACCATCATCTATCTTGTGACTGATTTCCTGTGGCTGGCTATGAGGCGCAGGAACGAGGTGACTAGATATGGTGTTACGCAATGCGAGGCATATTGTCCTCTAAGCGAGTGAACGTTTGCAATGGTAGCTTTACAAAGTTGTCAGTCATAGGGAAGTGCTACTAACAGTGTTTAAGGATCCGATGTGTTTCACAGCGCACTCGTCTAATTTCGTGAGCTGTGAAATGATTAATCACTCTATTTTGTGTTTGCTGCGCGCTGAGGTGATAATGTTCAATGAGCAGCTAATTTTGTACATAATAAAAATACACAAATGTAATTACGGAGCGAGCGAAGCGAGCGTAGTCTTTCCTTAGATTAACAGAAATTTCTGAGTATGAGCGGCCGGCCGGCCGGCCGGCCGTGCGGACGCTTTTGCGAGGCTTATATCTCAGCAACCACTTGACCGATTTACACGCGGTAATTTTTGTACGGTAGCTTCATTCCTTCTACCAAGTATTGGACTATTCCCGATGCATGTGGGTGACCCCTTATGCACGTGCCACGTGCAAAACGAAGAGGTGTCAGTTTTGTAATTGTTGCAATATCTCGGTAACTACTTGGCCGATTGCGCTGAAAGTTGGCATGTAGGTAGGCACCCACTAGGCACTGCATATCCATGTGCCAGAGTTGGGGTGCTGCTGCACGTGCGCACGTGCAGGGGTCGTTTCCAGATCTCGAGAACGGCTGGACCGATGGCGCTCAAATTTGGTACACGGTTAGGGACCAGTTAGTAGGGTGCCGTGCACAAGTCAGTTGGGACCCATGTTGCACGTGCGCACGTGCAGGGTGCCGCTCCCAGATCTCGAGAACGGTTGGGCCGATTGTGCTCAAATTTGGCACATCGCTAGAAACCGGTCAGTAGGGTGCCGTGCTAAAGTCAGTTGGAGGTACCCCCTCGAAATTTCGCACGTGCAAGACTCACCCCCTCGCTCGCTCCGTTAGTCGCCCCAAAAGGCGCTATACTGGTATTAGATCCAGCTGATGCCTGATCCGGCTGAGTGACCCATGCACAAAGCGAAGTCCCATTCATATATCGCGCTGGTACGCTGTTATTTCACACGTCCACGACAATAGTTTAACCCTCGCCCGTATAGGGGTCGAACGGACCCCCCCCCCCATGGTTTTTCGCGAATAACTCGCGTAAAAAGCGGCCGATCGCGACGAAACTTTCAGTACCCTCGCTTTCATCAATTTCACACCTACCCTGAAAATTTCATGACCCTGACCCAAATGACCTTTGACCTGTGACCTACTTTTCGAGACCATGTTTGGCTGGAATCGCGATTCGGCGTATGTCGGCTCGCATTAGCCGCGCGTTTGCAGTCTTTTCGTGGTTTCAAGCGTTCAAACATGTGATATGATGTTGCCCCCATGCATTAGGGTGGGTGTCAAGGTCACCTGAAGGTCAGGTCAGGTCATTGACCTTTGATGACCTCGGTTCACTTTTCGAGTTTTACATGTTTCTAGGCCAGTTTTTGGAGCTGAATTCGAATTTAGCAACCATATGAACATTTACGAAGTAGTTTTGGTGCCTTCGTAACATGTTACGAAGCTGTCAAGAGGCGGTTGCCACCTACTACGAATAACCTTACTGGTTGACCTGACCTGACCTGACCCGACCTGGCCTAAATACATGAAGACATCATCTGTGATCAAAACTAACATGATATTCGTGATCAGCACCCCGAAAAACCCCATAGAAGCCACACTTTACGACGTTCTAACAGGTCCCGATTTTCCCGCCTTGGGTCATTGACCTGACCTGCAAGGTCAACCAATGACCTAGGACCTTAAAATTGGGTATCATCGGCTTCCTCTTGTCACGGGCAACACGCTCGTTTTGTCCGCGAAGCTCTAGCTCGATCAGGGGCGAAACGGCAAGGGGGGGGGGGTCCAACAGACCCCCCCCCCCCTTATACGTTCGCGGCTGGAAGAACACCAATACGGGCGAGGGTTAACAATATTTAGTATATTTCATACAATTTACAAAGTGTCTCGGACAAGCAACTAATCCGGAGCTAATTCGTGAACAGATCCACTAAAGCCCAAAGTTTCTAAAATTGTATGAAAAGGCAGAGGTCAATGCATGACGAAACCGACCCGCTCGCAGTTGGCGTTCTACGGTGTCGCCACACGTTCTGTTCCTAGCGATGATGGTGGTACTGGAGTGGGGTAGGGGTGAAGAGGGGAGGGGTTAACCACGAACTGAGAACCTGGACGACCGTGATCTCTATGGACCGGTCAGATATCGGGAGCGATATTGTTCTGTTGGCATTGGATCATGCTCCGGTGAAATTGGGGGTCGGAACTGCTGCAGCGTGACTTCTCAGACTGGTTGTAAAAATACTCACCGTATCAGTTCCACCGAAGACGAGTCATACACACCAAACAAGCAGAGCGTTTTTCACTGTTTCTTCCTTGCTACTAAAATATGAATATCATCAGCCATATAGTCTGGATGCATTTTCTGTGTCGGAACCTCTTCTACATCGAATTGCTTCCTCAGGACCTCCGAGAACTTCTTTTGCAGCACTTGTTTCACCTCAGACTCTCTATCTTCATAGCTAATCAGCACTGCAGTTTTGGGCCCGGCCAAGGCTGATATGGTGTCCAAAAGCGGCAGAAGCGCCTGAAAAAAGACACCAAAACATATAATGACAGTCATCTTAGCATCGAGTCGTTTTTCGTAAAGTAAATGCAAGTGAATCGTTTAAACGGATACCATTTCCTGCAATCGCTTTTAACAAGTGTGTTCAGTAGAAATATTTGGAAAAAAGTGAAAAGTGAAAAAAGAAACATCTCGAGTTGCATCTCTCTTCTATCATGTCTGTTCCCTTATCTCCAGCTTGATATAGGTCAATTTCACATGCATGAGTTCGTTCGTTCGTTCGTGTATTTAGGAAACATCCATAAAATGGTTTTTTCAGTGTTCCCGTCCACGTCAGGGTACAATGTACATGATAAAACATTGGTATATTTAAAACAAAGTAAAGTGTAAAGGAGAGAAAAATAGTAAGGCTAGTGAAACTGAAATGCAGGGGGTAACTTTACTGAAATATAGCAATAAGGAGCGAGGTATCAATCTTGCCTGGGCGTTGTTTCACAACTTTATTGGCATGTCTAGCACGTTGCATAAATATCCCCCATAAAGCATGGAGAGCTGCCGAGACAGTGGAATCAACTTTTGTAAACACAATGGGAAAATTTGTTTATAAATTGAGCACTAAGGAGGCATTACGACACTTAAGCATGCAAAGTGAGTGACATACCTACTTTTCCTGGTAAATAACTGTTAGGATAATCTCTTTCATTGAGGAAGAGATGTTATTGAAAGGACCAAAAAAGTCATTTTGCACCTTGTTTTCCGTAAGTTTCAAATGCTTGAGGTTTTTAGCAAGTTAAGACAGAATCAGACTACAGAAGCTGCAACTGTAGATCAAGACTCGATCTAGATATGGTTTTCCTACTGTTACTAATACCTACACCTACTAATAGATGAGGTAGTTATGCTTGTTTACTAACCTCTACATAGTACACACAGTCTGCTACCAGCAGCAGATCAGGCTGAGGCAGAGAAGCATCAGCATGGTCATCCCAATCTAAAACAGCAGCAGAAGCTTTTTCCTGCAGGTTGTTCTCCTCAATATTCTTAGTCAGAAGTGGCATGAGACTGGCCAAGTCAGTAAGTGTTGTCTGACATCTGCAAAAATAGTTTATCAACAACTGGTTAATAAAGAATTAACTAAATCCAGTGGATTAACTGAAGGTTTAATCCTTAGGTAGGTACTATCTTGCTGTAGACAGTCCACAACACAATGTTCAAATACTTTCTTTCAAAGTTCCCAAACACAAAAAAGTGCACACTATTTTTCAACCATACTAAAAAAATTGAAATAATGTGCGGAAGACACATAACATAGGTATTGCAGAAAACTATTTTAGCATATTAACATTCACACTCAACTACGCTAACGAGCATACACATATTGATATGCTCGCTTGTATAATCTGTTCGCACAGATTTCAACAGATTGGTTGGGTAACGTTATTGAAAAATATTTACAAATATTACAAATATTACAATAATAGAAATATTACAATAATGAAAAATATTACAATTATTCTATTGTAATATTTACAATAAATATTACAATAGAATAAAAATATTACAATAATATTTTTGTATTACAATTTGTAATACAAAAATATTACAAAATATTACAAAAATATTACAATAGATATTACAAATGTGAAGATAGCTTCAAATCACAAACATGTGAAAAAACTATTTCTATTAGAAAATCATGTAAATACAAAACAATATTCAAATACCACACAGCTACTAATGTATAGATCATTACAACAGTTTGGTCATTTGTAATGCAATTTAAGGTATAATCATACAAAATTTTACCCTAATGATGCTGCAAGAAGTCCAACAGCTCCAGTTCCAGCGCCTAATTCAATTGCTCTTGCACTGTGAATGTTTTTGATCAATTGTGACGCATAAGCTACCAAACCACCATCACAATCATCAGTTTTCACACATTCTACAGAATGCACGAAGTCGATGTACTTGCTCAAAACAAGTGCGGCGTCCCAAACCACACATCCCACATCACCAATGTAAGATTGATGAATTTTAAGTTCACTTTTTGAGCTTTCAATTTCCACGACTCTCACAAACGTCTCCTCCACCAAGGAGGCCGCCATGATTGCCAACAACTATACAAATTCCAGCAATATTATTTTCTATGATTTTTCGTTATCGAGTATATCCTGGTGCTAATTATGTTTTAAAAATTATACTCACTCATAATTCAATATTATTTTTATCAAGAAAATCGTCTCAAAATCAACGTTGAGATTAAAATTTTGATTTTAAAACATCTTGCAAAGCCTTCTGCTGGAAGCTGAGTGCAAGCGGAAGTGGAACGTCGCTTGTCTCATTTGTTTACTTCGTCTAATAAATAAATACACCGCCTTGATATAAAGGGTACTTCATGTTTCATAGCAAGTGTTTTTAGGGCCTTGATTGTAGGTATATACCGGTACATATACTTGTGGTAGTGATATGCCGTGTAGCATCGGTGTAAAGTCTTCGGCATTATCATGCCGATTGCCGAAGACTCTTGCCATACCTACCTGTCATTTTCATGTTTTACCGTGCTTTACCTAGGTCAAACCTAGGTCCTAGGTTCGTCACTGGCGGCAAACTGGCGGGCTGGTATACCATTAGGATGAACTGGGATATTTCATTATTCATGATTTGTGAAGTTCGGCCAACGAATTCACACTAATGCCAATGCAATAGCAGCTGTTGTCGAGTGGTTTTGACCTTTGTTTTTGCCATCTCAATTTTTCTCATTAGCCAAGGTGCAAAATCGCGATATACGGTAACGAAGTCGCTGTAACGATTTACAATCTTGTCTTTATTTCTCTGAGTTGTTTCGTACGACCCACGAGTCATGTTTGACCCGTGACCGGCTAATGAGAATGACCATGGCGCTCACACCCCACCGTGTTAACGACCCTGATCTATCCTCTGGCCGCCGCAGCTCCCCCCGCGGACGATGGCGGACGCGACCGAGCCGCCCTCGGAGCGGCCATTGCGGCTCTGGGTGCGTTCCGAGCCGTTCGTGTACGGCATTCTGCCTGTGATCGCCACACACAAAATATCAGTCAAGTACCTGCGCAAGATCGTGCAGTATGCGCGACACAAAGCGGCCGCGACCTTTCCGCAGATCCAGTACAGCATGTGGAGGCACATCGCGTGCAACAAGTTGCAGCTGGCCGAGGACCTGGCCCGGCTGTACTTCGACACGTTCGAGCTGCTGCAGGAGCGGCCGGCCGAGCAGCGCCGCCGCTGGGACGGCGAGTACGCCCGCTGCGACGACGCCAAGGAGCGCGACCTGTTCGCCGGGCAGCGACACGTCAATCTGCTCCAGTTTGTCGCCTACCTCTTCATCCAGGTGGGGAACGGTGTCGGTAAAATGCTAACACGTCTACCGTGGTCCGTTTCAATTGAGCCGATCTGATTTGGAGACCGCCCTTTTCCAGATCCGACATTTCAGATCAATGTCGTAACCTATGACTGGTTAGTGGTTAGTCATGCCCTCTCGTGCCGCGGAATTTGACCCGTGTCCTTCCTCTCCCGGCCTCGGCAGAACCTCAGTCACAGCGGCAAGAAGCAGCGGCTGGGGTCGGCGGTGACCCCGCCCGGCTCCGACACGGAGTGGCCGGCGGCGCGCGCCGAGCCGCCTGAGGCCGGTGACCGCCAGCATAAGCAGCTCGAGGAGCACCAGCACCTCTCGTTCGTCCAGACGCACCTCGCCTCGCTGGTGGAGGTTCGTGAGACAACAGCTAAGCCACAGCTATACGGCTGTCGGCTACCATGAAAGCTCAGTGACGATGTTTCTTCTCAAATTCAGACCGTCTCCTCGACGACCAGTGGCGACGACAGCCGGGCGGCAGCGGGTTAGTGCGCTGCTGTATGCCCGTCCCCTGCCCAGGGCGCGGCAGTAGACGGGTTAGCGCGCCCCTGTCTGCCCAACAGCCGCCGAGCGGTTACGACCGTCTAATGGTGGCGAGACCACCGGACTTTGGCCCGCGGCGCCGGCGCCGCCGCTGCCGGTCGTAATCAGAGCTATTACACCTGTCCCTGCAGTGAGCTGCGAGATGATTCGCTCCATGAGCCGGCTCTTGGCGAGGCGGTGCCGCCGTGATGAGCTTTGTGCAAAGGTGGTATTTTCATTGCTATTACGGAGTTACTTATTAGGTCATCAAGTAACGTAATAAAGCCGCATAGTTGCAGACGCTTTGCATTTTGCATTTTCCCGTTGTCCGTAGATGAATAAGCATGTGTGCTTGTATTCTAAACAATGCGGACGAATTTGTCAGTCCTATACTGTGGGACGCTGTCGGTCAAAGTGAGTTCGCGTTGTAACTGTGTAGATGGCAGAAGGTGCCGCTGACCGGTGTAGAGCGTTGCCGACTGTTAGGGCGCCGCTGACCCGCGGTGGCCGCTGTCCCCAGGTGCTGGGGGAGGGCTCGCCGCTCGGCTCGGTCGGCGGCGACACCCTGGTGTGCCGCGCCGTGGTCGAAGCGCTCTCGATCCTCATCGACCTGGACACCGGCCGGCCATCCTCTCCGCCGCGGACCGGGGAGGAGCGCCCACCCGTCACCCTGGCCTCGGTGGCTGCCGAACCGAGCCGCGCCAATCAGGTCAGTGAGCTGCCATTTCAGGGTTTGCCCACCATCTCCCCTACGCTGTTGCATTTAAACCGGTACGTCGTACATTAATCTCAGCCACCGTTAACATGTAATTCAGCGTCATCCGATTCGAATGTTTTATACTATCAGCTGTCACAATGCGCTACAATGGGTGCAGACCGCGGAGTAATCGTATCTTCCCCAACAGCTGACGTGCTGCCATTGCTTTCAGACCGGCTACGTGCCCACGGCCGACGCGTACCAGCAGTCCCGCCTGCTGCGCTGGATCACCGGATCGCTGGGAGCCAACCCCTACGGTAAGAACTCGAATGGTGGCCGCCCACTCGTGCAACGCTGTCGCTGAGTGCTGCGCCCGTCACCAGGGCCCTGTTCATGAAGTCTGCGGTCGCTGCGGCCGGCCGCAGGTTCTAAGCCCCGCCCACTTTTGAAACGTCATCATTCACTCGGCCGCAGCAGCGTTCCATGAACACCGTCAGCTGCCGAAACAGTTTCCGATAATTGCGCGCTCGAGACGATTACTAATCAATAGTTTCCACGCGCTTCTTTTATCTGTGTATTCCATTCTTGTGATGAAAAGGGCGTTTCTCAAGGCCGTCTGGTGTTTCTGTATTTTTGTAAGTGGGTCACATAAATGATTTGGTATTGTTTTCATTAAATCGTAGCACAAATAACTTAAGTCTAAAATTAAATCTCATATTAAAGCATTAATCTAATTTTTAGGTATCATGGCATGCAACACCGGACGGAATGAATTTGTTTATAACATCGTCTCCATGGCAACACAGCCTACACTTTGACTTCAGTGCGCCAAGTTCAGTGCAATTACTTTCTTGCGGCTCGGCGGTCGCTGGATTGCGGCCGCAGAGATCGCAGCGGCCGCAGCAAGGTGACGTCATACATTCGTCATACTACATGAGCCCCGCCCCTTTTTGTGACGTAACAACCCGGCTGGCCGCAGCGACCGCAGCGGCCGCAGCGACCGCCGGGGTTCATGAACAGGGCCCAGGTCTTCGTTGAGTCCTACTCAAGGATCGGGTGCCTAAGTTTATACTTTATTCGGAGTTTCCTGAGCCTGTGTTTCCGTTTTGCCGTGCAGGTGTGGCGGCGTGCGTGTCGTCGGGCCGTCGACTGTCGTGGCCCAGCGCCACCTCGACCGACCGGCGCGCCGACCACAAGCGCGGCAAGATGGCCACCAACGCGCACGTGGCGCCGCCCGGCGACAAGCTGATCGTCACGTCGGCCATCCACAAGGAGACGGTGGCGCGCCTGTCGCCCACGCTGTGCGGCGCCACGCTGAAGCTGCACCGGTGCCACCAGGCGTTCCTCTACTTCCTCAGCCCGCTGCGCAACGTCTCCATCGACAAGTGTCACGACACGACGGTGGCGCTGGGCCCTGTGTCGGGCACGGTGCAGCTGACCGGCTGCCGCGCCGTCCGGCTGGTGGCCATCTGCCGCCGGCTGGTGGTCAGTGACAGCGTCGGCTGCACGCTGCACGTCACCACGCCCACGCGACCGCTGCTGGCCGGAAACCGTAACGACTCGCTGACGCTGGCGCCGTACCACACCCACTACCCGGCGCTCGAGGAACAGATGCTGCAGGCCGGCCTCGGCGTGGTGCCCAACTTCTGGGACCAGCCGCTGTGTCTGGCGCTGGACGGCTCAGTGGGCGCGCCGCCCTGCTGGCGCCTGCTCGAGCCGGCCGCCTTCTATCCGTTCCACACACCGTTCCCGATGGCGGGCGCCACGCGCCGCAGCCCGGGCAGTCTGCCGTACCGCTACCAGCGCGTGCTGCAGGAGCGCCGCGCCAAGACCGAACAGTGGAACAAAATGATGGCAGAGACCGGCCTCAACAAGGAGCAGATCGCCAAGTTCCAGGTGAGGGTACTGTTGACAGTCAGTGAGCTATTGACAATGTATGTAGTGGTCGAGGTTAAATTGTCCCTCTCCCTCATTTCATTGTGTCATTTCCGCGTCAGCATGCATCTCGAGCCCGTTTCCATGCCCTCATATCAGTTACCGTAAGTGCATTACCAGCTGATCGCTTTTAGGTGACACAAAAGTTGCTTTCATTCCGCTGTCATCGGGATGCTCTAAATCACATTTCGCATGATTGATTTATGTATATTTGTACTATTCGACAAGACTATTCTATTTGAATTGGATCCGCTATATCGTTATGTCTATCGTCCAGCATCGTTTGACTGAGTTTTACGTCATTAATAGATACCGACGAGCCGTACTGGTACGTCTTTGACTTGACCTCAAAGCTCAGCTGCTGTCCGTTGTTCGTTTCGGTGATGCGCCAGCGGCAGTGCAGAGTGCAGACGTTGACGTGTTCTTCTCCCCAGGAGCTGCTGCGTCGCCGGTTCGAGGTCTGGCTGAAGGAGACGGGCAAACAGCGCGAAATCAACAGTCTGGCGGCCTGCAGGGAGCGCACGGCCAGGTACGAAAAGTACAAACAGCTGGCGGCGGCGGCGGCCAGCGGCGCGGGCGGCGGGGAGGGCGAGGCCCAGGACGTGGGACGCTGACCGGTCAGTGGCGGGGGTGAGACTGGGAGGTCAGTGTCGGGACCTGTTCCGGAGGCTTGCGGCAACTGAGGAGACAGCATGAACAGGAGTGGGTGTGCCCGAATGACATATGCCCGCATGGACCAGAGACGTTTCTGAAAGCAATCGGAGACGTGTGCGAAGGAATCAGCGGCCCATACCTAAGACACGAGAATACATGCCTAATGCTTAACAAGATCCCTCACAAGTCACAATGAGACTATGTGATTGAATTTCCAGCGTCCAATGTGCGTCGAACTCCACAGCCAATGTTTGTCAAATATCGTGTGTGAGTGATAATATTGTTGTTTCATTCAGTGTTACGTGAGAAGCGGTTGCATTTTCTGAAATATATTTTGAAAGCAAAGGTGCGGTGAATGCAGAGCAAATTGAGACCTTAAAAATGTGCGAGATTGGGCACAATTATAGGAAGTATTTATTCCATTGGACAGCAGTGATGCCACAAGGATCGTAAAAAAATCTCCCAAGAACCTCCATCCGTTTTGGACGGCGGTTTTCGGCGCACAGACTGGTCGCTGGGCGGGCCGTGACCGTTCCCCGGAACACCGCGGTCACCGCCCGTATCTGAGGCCTATTCTCTGGCTGTCACTGGAAGTGGCAGACTGCTCAGCACGCAGTGGAAGGACGACGATATCCGAATATCTGCTTACCGGCGCTCTGGGTCATTTAAAAGCGCGTCCGCCACCGCCAGCACTCCAGCGGCCGTCGCCGCTCAGGCTGGCGCTCGCCGCTCCGATATTGATAATCGCCAGGACGCAGCCTGGAGGCGGCGTATGGAACCGGATCCGCCCACTGGACTGCAAAGGGCACAGGTATAGGTACATAGGTACAATAAGGGCCATAGGTACAATACAATTTACGTGAATAAACATACACTTCCGCTACTGATCTACAAAACCCCATCATATGACATCTCAAATTACATAATCTATTTTTTGCGCGGAGCCTAACCCGATTAGAAACCAAACCCAAGAGATGTCGCGCAGAGGGTGTTTTAGCGCCGGGGATGGATTAGTAGCCAGTGCTGTCGAGGGATAAATAGATCGTATCTGCACGCCCTAGTGAAGAAGCGACGAAAAAAGTATGATAGGCTTCTTTTCATTGCCTTACCTCTTCAGGCTCTGACGATCGCTGGGTCAGCTATCGATGACTGCCTCACGTCATGGCTCCGGCTGAATCACCAGGAAGCTTGAGTCGCCCCTTTCGCACTTCTATACGAAAAAAGACAGCCCGAGTCCGATATCTGCCTGGAAACTGAAACAAGTGTTGAGGATAAACCGCAATAAATGCTTCTGGCCAAAAATGACCAAGACTGCTATACACATAGGTCGTAGGAAGATCATAGGAATGATAGTAGTAGCCATTCCTCTGTAGATAGGTCATATGAATGGCTACTACGCTGGCTGTCTTAAATCTATATTACTATTTGAGGAAGGCGTAGTTTCTGTCTATTACGAAGGTCGCGACATGGTGCTACGTAGCGCGGGTTACAGGTCACACCGTTGCACCTACCGCGCTGAAATTTGCGCAAGTTATAGAACAAGGATGGACAACGTGCCTTTGAGCGGTCTCGGCTCGATCGGATCGATAGCGAGCGCGTGGCGCGTGCCCAAAAAGTGCAAATTCGCGTCATAGACTTTACATGTATAAATCGGCTGGCAAAAACGGGCGAAAATGGCTAAATTTGCCCGACACGGGTCCGTTCCCCGTGCAATATCTCGGTAGCCGTGCGCCCGATCGGCACGGGGAAAACAGCATCGTGTAGAGAATCGAACGGGCAATCGAATAGTGTGCGGTGCAGGGGTGGCACGCGCCACGTGCAAGTGTGAGGGCAATTTCATTTCAAAAAGTGCCATTTTAAACGGATTTTGGAATTTATATTAATTTCAGGTGATCGTCAGACGGAATGAGTTGAAACAGCGCCTATTAGCAATAAAAAATGTACCGTCTCTCATGGAAAAATTGTGAAAAGCTAATTGATCAAAAACAATGTGGAAAAAATCGCTGAATTAAAATGGTATTTGTCCATAATGTGCCACTAAAAAGATACACGGGATTTGCTGCTTAAAGGTAGTGTGCCAGCTTTCTTGGACCGTATGGAGTTAATGGCCCAGATAAGGAGAACCGGATTTTTAGAACTTATCCATACCTTCAAAACTCATGGAAACGTCTTAAATTCTTCAAATTTTGAGTACCCCAGTGCGAAATTCGCCCCGACGGGTTGTCGGTCGTACCCCAACCACATTTCACACCACTATGAACAATAAATGCACACACTGAAATCGCTATTACCGATATGCTCATCCAATCAAGTTTCGATAAACCCGTTCATCATCATCTCCTGCGGTTTCGAACACGCCTGTTAGGTGGCTTCTGATGCTCGTCGAGGTCGGAATTTCCAAATACGCGTGGTGCGTCGGGCCGCGCGCTCTGACTTCGGCCAAGAAAAATGCGTCAGCTGATCATTGTCATTTCTGCCACTTGCGTGTGGTGAAATGGGGTCATAACTTATAAGACGGCTTTTTCATATCAATTATTTTACATAAAATCATATTTCAAAATTTCATATTTCAATGGGGTCATAACTTATAAGACGGCTTTTTCATATCAATTATTTTACATAAAATCATATTTCAAACCATAAATAATGTTCGACAGCCAAATAAAAGAAACAATACCAATACGGGCTTACAGTTTAAGCAACTGTCGGCCAAATGTCACGTGACATTTGACCTTGACTCGGCACCAAAATTTGATGACAAATACTGCGCGGTTGATACATTTGATGGCGTCAACAAACTGCTTGCTCCAAATCTTATACAATTTTAAGCTTGTATCAGATTTTCAATCTTTTCTCTTGTATTTTGCTGTGACCTGCCTAGTATTTTATTGCAGATTGCAGAGCTCTTACTCTGATTCAGTTTTGTGTTGCTGCAAGATGTAGGTACATTTAGGAGGTTTCCAAGAGAGGAGAAGATGAGGGTCGCTTGGGTGAGGGCTGTCAGGTAAGATCCAGATGTGTCCTTGGTAAGATCCAGATGTGTCCTTGTTAGCTGTATTGATAAATGCAATACATTATGTAGTAATGATAAATGTAATAAATGTTATGTAATGACAAGCACAAACCAGGAGCTTTTACAGCCCAATGATCACCATAGGCAAAGATTCCATTTCTCGTCCTGAAAAGTGCCTTCTTGAGGAATTTGCTGAGGAATGCAGCCATGTCATCGTCAGCTAATCAGCATTGGCATGCTGCTAACAGCCAATGGGTTTGAATTTTACAACATGATTAATCAATGCAAGCTTCCGCGTCAAACAATATTTTCTATAGAATATTGGGTAGTTGTAAAGCAGGCGTCACACTACTTTTTGCAATGAAGGAGAGGTGCTATACCCAGAGATGCTTTCTAATTGAACCAAGCCAAAACAAACCTAACTAAACCTGACCTAGCCATACCTACAACCTAAACTCTACAACCTAGGTACCTACAACTTAGAACCTACAACCTAACCTACAGCACCTCTCCTTGGTTGCAAAAAGAAGTGTGACGCCTGCTTTACTACTACCAAATATAGTTCTTCTTTTATTAAAATACAGAAAATATTATTTATATAAAGGTTTTATTTTTGTGCTGATCATAATGAGCATAACAAATCAAATCCATTGCATAAAACTAATTACAGGAAAGAGAACATGAAATCCATTAAAAGCTTATCATGTTTACCACAAGTTACCTAATGAAGGTAATGCTTTGACCTGGTAATCCGTTGAGTGTAATGCCGCAGGCAGCTCTAAGGGATGTGTTGGGATGGGTAAGGAAAATATTTTTGGTTGAAGAGGTGTGTTATAGGCTACAGGCCAAATGCATACCTCTTTAACAAAAAAAAAGAGAAAAGATGTAGGTACTCTTACCTAGCATATATTCCAGTTACTATGTACAAAAAAGACGTGCTACGAATGTTGCTAGCGAACCACTGTAGGTTGGGTTAGTTAAGGTTTGACCATGTTCTGAAGCATTGTAAATAATCATAATTGTTCACTCTTAGCACCTCACATTGATATAAAGCCAATTAACTACATTTTGATTGCTAGGTGAGGATGTCAACCTTCTGATTCTGGATTCTGGAGCCAAAATAACATGATACAGTGTCAGTGATACCATCTTGTTTAGAAGCTGTGGCTGTGCTGTCTGAGTCAATATCTTACCTCTAAACACAAGGCATTTTGTATGTAAAAGTCCACATGCAAGAACAGTATGCCAGTTGTTACATTTGTTGCATCTGTCATTTACAGACGTGCAGATGCAGTTCCCAGGAGCACTTCCCAGCTCTGTTCCTGTCATTTTGAGGAGGGCAGCTGCATCCCAACACTCTTCCAGTACAACGGGACATCGGGTACCAGATTGCTCATTTCCGGTAAGCACTAGCCACTTAACTTCATTGTTTGAGTCCAACTCATATGCCAGGTTGCTTACCATACCAGTATATGCATAGTAATGATGCAAGTCTTGAGCCTACGGGCCCGGGCGGTGTTTCACGGGACGCTGCTACCACGCTGCTATCAAATTGCGCGAGCTGACGTCACACTTGTGGTAGTGTTGGAGCAATGGGCCTGTTCATGTCTCCATGGAAACCCAATTTGACACGTGTAAAAGCATCGTGCTGCTATCACCGGTGAAACAGGGCCCCGGTGTCGGGCTTAAAATCGGACCCGCCGGACTTTTGCCGGGCCTAAGCTCGAGGAGGCCGGGCATATGCCGGGCTCGGCAAGGGCTTGCCTGTGTTAAAGGGACAATGCCACCTTCCAAAAAGTTAATAAATTGGCATAAAAGTGATGTGCCATAAATCAGAAAGAGCGAAATTTTTAGGTTTACATTTTGCACGAAGCCATCAAAGCGATGCAGCAGGCTAGTCATATGTATTACTTGTTGCACACTCATATCTTGGGCAAAATGTATTGATGACAAGTGGAAGAAGTGGAAAAAACGGTTTTAGCCTTTATTTGTGTATTATGTGTATACCTGTCAGCGCAGTGTGGAAGTTGAAATTGTTGGTTTGGTAAATCTTCATAAAAAAACATAATAGTTGTGGTTCAGTTCAAAGTTGATTCAAATTCACAAACTCAGTTTTTGTGATGTGGTTGCAGGTCGCCTGTGCTACACCAAGCTCAGAAAGGGAAAGCGGATCACACAGCCACCATCAGCGCGCTAGAACTCCAAGGAGGATCTGCGAGCGGCGCGCCAGGCGCCGTCGGAGCAGCCCCTGGTAGCGACAGCCGCCGCGCCGTCGGAGCAGTCCCTGGGAGCCACGGCCAGCCGCTGTCGGAGCAGCCTCTGGGAGCCGGCCGGCCGCCGTCGGAGAGGCCTCTGGGAACTTACCTGTAACTGACTGCGGCTGACGTGTGTGTCCGTGTGCGCGCGTGTGTGTGTGCGTTTCCACTGGCAGTGATAGTGACAGGTGAACGGTGTTCATGACCGATGGCCGGCGGTCTTTGTTGTTATTCTGATAATACGTATGAGACATTGTTTTAATATGTTTTGTTCTGAAACGTTTCCAAAAACTGAATCACTTCATTATCATTCTACTTAATTAAAGCATGTTTACCAGATAAAAGGATTTGCAAATCAAAGGAAGTAAAATTGTGTGAAAATTTACTCAGTTGCGCAGCTAGCCAACACACATTTGCTACTGTCAGGCCGCTATGGAACATGTTCAAAGTAGCTCAACGTATTGAATGACTCACTGCTCCCCCCCCCCCCCCCCCGCCAACGTTGGCGCGCATTGGGCGCGGGCACAAGAGTGGTATCAACGACCGCCGTCTTGAGCTGCACCAGGGTCTGCTGGCTCTTCGTCATGTATGGTGCATTGTTCAGATATCCCCGCTGCACGCTGTACGCTGTACGCCACTGTTTCGTTATAATATTTTCTGCTCGATTTGTTTGAAATATGGAAATATGTATAGACACTGGATGTGCAAAGCGTCCGTGTAGGACATCTACTTGTTTCAAACTGTCCCGGAGCATCCATGTTTCGGAAGTGCACGGCGTCGATGATGGCGAAAACGAGAGGTGCAATAATGTTGTAGCGGAACACCGGGACTGCACACAACTCACTGCAGTTGTCGACGTTTACACCGAATTATCTTGCTCAGCTCAGGTTGGCTTTGAAAACGGCAGGGTCATCGGGCGGGCTTAAAGGCGGTTAATACAGAGGACGGGATGGAGTGAAGGTTCCCGTTCAGGCGGTAAAGGGGG